GCTCCTTTAAATTACCACTTGTGTGTACAGTGATTTCACTCTTCCATTGGCCTAACCTTGTGAGACTGTACGTTCAGGAGGAGGCATTTCTGATGGGTCCACTACTTTATGGAAGGTTCTTGGAATCTGACTTGTCTTGGGAGAGGGAGGAGCAGAGAGGAAGAACTGGGGAGAGGAAGGGAAAATTGGAAAAATGGAAGAAGATTCATGGAGATTGCCTTGCATTCTTTTCCTCTGTTGGTCAGTCACAGCTCTGAGCACTTTTGCAGTGGTTTCCCAGTGAGATAAGTGGTTGGTTGCACACACTGGCACCGTACAACATTGCAATGACCGTTCTCTCCCTGACATGCTTCTCAGCTGTATATAAATGTTAATACCTTGACCTCAAAGAAGACAACAAATGATGGAGGTCAGCAGGTTAAGGGTGGCAGTACCATATGAAGGCACAGCTCAGGCTTCTCTTCACTTATCCCTAGCAAAGTGCACACAAAAGTAATCAGGGTTCACATCTGCTTGCTATCTCTCCTGATTTAGCTCAGTTAACTAGATGAGGCAGTAAGTTCATTTTTCCTTGGGCATTGGTATTCAGGAAGCACTTTGGAGCTGTAACTAAGATCAGAGCTCCGTTATTTTAGTCATTGTGTGCATATGTACTAAGACTTAAATCTTCTTTATTGAGCCAGTGTATTTTGTCTTGCATTGTTGCAAGCTTAGCTGACATTCAGTCAGTCACTTTTTAAGCCACAGTAACCTTTCTGCATGCCTGTTATGGTTTAACCCCAGCCAGCAACTAAGCCCTACTCGCTCACTCCCCTCTGGTGGGATGGGGGAGAAAGTCAGAAGGATAAAAGTGAGAAAACTTGTGGGTTGAGATAAAGATAGTTTAATGGGGAAAGCAAAAGCTGCATGCGCAAGCAAAGCAAAAGGAGGAATTCATTCACCATGTCCCATGGGCACACAGATGTTCAGCCATCTCCAGGAAAGCAGGGCTCCATCATGTGTAATGGTTACTTGAGAAGACGAATGCCATCCTCCGAATGTCCCCCACTTCCTTCCTCTTCCCCCAGTTTTATATGTTGAGCATGATGTCATATGGTCTGGGATATCCCTTGGGTCATTGGGGACAGCTGTCCCAGCTGTGTCCCCTCCCAACTCCTTGTGCACCTCCTCACTGGCAGAGCATGGGGAAACTGAAAAGTTGTTGACTTGTTGCTAAGTAGTGCTTACTCTAACTAAAACATCAGTGTGTTAACAACATTGTTCTCACACTAAATCCAAAACACAGCAGTGTACCAGCTGCTAGGAAGAAAATTAACTCTATCCCAGCCAAAACCAGGACAATACCTTACCTCAGAGACTCGTGCCCTGATGTTTGTGAGTGATAGATTTAAATCCATGCTTAACATTGTCTAGACTTCCAAGGCTGCACAGATAACACTGAACACCATGAGTGCTGATTGCGGGGAGATATTTTGGAAGAGAAGCTACTGCCTACTCTTTATGTATGTGAATGATCCTCATGGCTTCTTTTGAAGAATATAGAGCAGTTCCTCCCAGTGTTGAGCCGCTGTCAGCTGCTTCATTGCCATGCATGGATATGCTGGTTGACTGCTGTCTACTCCTAAGAGATGGTTACATTTCATAAGCACCCTACAAAACATAGTTGTTAAAATATCTTTCCTGAAAAGAGTGCTGAATTGCTCCAGTTGCTGTATTATGTTCACTCTGGGAACGTTCTCCCAAAGACTGCTCTGAGTTAATTAAAAATAATAGCATCAGGCAGTTAGTTAAAAAGTTTTCCAAGATGGGTTTACCCATGACACCTTGTCTCTCTGCCGTTAGTGACAGAAATAATGCAGTATTGAGTCATTACCCACTTCAGCTGTAAATACTAAACTGGATTAAACAGACTTTTCTCTTACTAAAATCCTTTCCTATGCTTTAATGAAATACATTTTGAAATAGCACTGATAGTAAGTACCACCTCAATCCTCCTTTTCTTTCCTGCCTCTAGCTGTTTAGATCAGTTGTATGAAGGTCAATAGTAAAGGACTGTTGTGGACAGAGGGTTTATCCTTGTTACCGATGCTGTTGGGAAGCAGTTTAATAGCTACCGCTCACTGGTTTGTACCATCTTTTACCACTGGTGTTCTGCAGGTTAAGGGGAAAGGACAGCAGTCATCTAATTTCTTTTTATTTCCTGAATGCTTTTATAGGCTCCATCATCACATTAGCTAAGTGCCTCCCAGTCTTTTGTTATATCAGGCCTCTCACTGTCCTTTTTAGAGATGGAGAAAGTAGCCTCCTCATTTATAGAGGTGCTCCTGAAATGCAGAGAGAGTGATTCCTTAGTCATGGAGTTGAATCCTGTTGCCTGCGGTGCCTGTGCAGCACACCAGTGATAGCTGAGAAATAAGCAAGATGTATGCTGTACGCAAAATCCCAGTTTTCCTTCTCCAAGAACATGAGGTCCACCCATGACGTTATCTGACTCCTTGTCCAAAAGGCACTACCTTTTTTATTAACTTTACACTGATTCGACTTCAGTCTTGAAGGGTGGGCAGGAACTTTTCAAGATCAAGGGAAATTCTTCTTCCTCATTTGGGACAAGCCACAGTTGTATCTAGTTTTTGGGAAGAATATCTCCTGGACTTGTGTTAAGCTTAAGTGTTTTAATTATCAGCTGATAACCCCATTGACTCAAGTTGTTTGATAAAGAATTCCCGAGCTTTCCAAATAGCAGTGCCTCTATTTATATTCCCCTCTGTACAACAGAGTGAAAGCGATTTTGAAAACATGTTGTTTTCAAAAGATGATGAGAGAGGATGATGATTTCTCAACTGAGATGTAGAGTAGGGGTATTACAAGCCGCGAAGCAGCTGCACAACCTATAGGTCTTGTTGTGGGCTTATCAGTCAGCATTAAGGACAGGATGATATGAATGAGGTCATTTATTTCATGGTTTGAAGATGAAGAAGAGGCAGAAAGTCAGTTTAACTGAAGCTATTAAGAGTTGAAGATCCTCCACTTAGTAATCTAGCTTTACACGGGTGTACTGAATGATAGTCAATGCAAATGAATGTTTAGCACACTGGGAGAGAGGGGGTGGGGAGGGAGAGAAAGAGAGATCCATACTATGTTATTCCCCAGCTGTTTGATTTGAAAGGAAAATGCACCATTTTCATTTTGCAGCAAGAAGGGTATTTGTAATGATTTTAGTTGCTCTATGCTGGTGTAAGCAGTTAGGAGAACTTTCTGTGCCTGCCTAATGTGAGGATCTAGCCCTTAGTTTGACTTCTAGCTTTTTTTCCTAACGTCATGCAAAGTCAGAAATACATTTTTTTCCTTCTTTGTAGAGACTTGAAGTATTACTTTCAAAAGATCAATTCAGAGTGACTGCATGCTAGACTGGATGCAGAATGGGACCTCAAACGTGACACTAATCTACCTCATTCACTTTGAAAAAGCAAATTCTTTGTGTGTTTTCCTTTTAAAGCCAGGGCTGAAGGCATCCTCCTTCCCTGCATGCAGTACTTGAGCTCTATGGATTGAAGTAAGAAGGGCATAAGAGGAGAATATTGCTAACGAAATAAAATACAGCTTTGGCTTTTTACAGCAGATTATCTGGGAAGAGGGTCTCTTCAGTGTGAGTAAACTTGTTAGTTGCATGGTGATTAAAGAGTACTAAAAGACATATAAGAACTGTTCAGGCTTACTTCAGCAAAGCTACATTTCCTGCATTCTTTTGTTTGCCTTTGGTGTAGTCCAGGTCTTAACACTTTTCTGCAAAGAGATGCTATCTCTCCCTTCCTTTCCTCCATTCATTCTGATCTGTGCTTTGCAAGAAAGGAAACTGATTCATGTAGGTAGGTAGCGTGATACTTTCATTCTTTCTTCTCCCCACCTTTGGAAGAAGATAGTCATTGATTCACTGAGATGCTTTTCATATCAAAATTCATTATAAAGACAGACCAGTATAATTTATGGGAACAGATGGTATTTCTTGATAGATTTTGCTGAACTGGCATCAGTGGTAACATTGCAACTAGACTGGATGAAGTTTTTTGCCATGTGAGTGTAAAATAGTTTTTCCCCCCCAGGTATAACTTATGAAGGGCCCTGTGATTACAGCTAACTAGTTTGACCTTCAGGACAGCCTTCAGGGTCTGACGTTCTCCTGGGACTTTTTTGAAGGGGGATGGTTGGCTAGTTGTGTGAGTTGTCTTTGGTTTGTGGCCTGTCATTTGGACCGCATACAGAGATTGATCAGATTTACACAGCCTCAAATCTTTACTCTCTTAGTGCGACATAGAAGATACTTGGGTAGTCTGCTTCCAGCTTCTGCACTGCCAAAAGCAACCTTACTGTCAAGCACATATATTATGTCCAGCCGTCATGGTGAAGACATCAGTGGGAGTAGGCATGGAAAATGAACTCCTCTCATTTGTCTACAAAGCAAGGTCATAAACTGCAGCAATAGCTGATATAAATGAAAATACCAATAAAAGTTTTCTAACAATAAACATAGTCAAGTACTGGAATTGCTTGCCTAGAGATGCTGTATCACATGGGTTATGCAATGCTGAAATATTCTTAAAAACAGGTGAAACAAATTTCTTTCAGAAATGGTCTTAGATGTAGATAATATGCCTTCAGACAAAGGAATGGATTAGGTGAACTATTAAGATTCTTTTGCTCTACCTTTTTTGATTTCTTGAATGTGTTAACAGAGCTATAGAAATATTTTGGCATCTTTTCCATTTGTTGACCTGTAAGAAATGATCTCTTGGAAAATCAGTGTAGAAAATTTGTCCCTAAACTGCTGGGTAATTTGAATGAATTCCTTCTCCTGAGTTTTGAACAGGAATTGAGGACTTGTTTTTCAATATGCCTGTTAAGATTGTAAAGGGGTTTGATGACATGGTTATGTGTGTGATGTATAGCTTTGCAAGCAAGCTTTACTCATGGCAAACATATACGTGTTTTTGTTTAATGCATAGGAAACAATGTCATGAGGACCATCCATGGTGTAGGAGAGATGATGACCCAAATGGTACTGAGCAGAGGGTCTATATTTCCCATCAGTGCCCCTGATGTACAGCCAAGCATTCACCCAAGCAAGCAAGCCAGCACCTCAGACAGTGAAGATGTGATTGTAATGGACACCAAATTGAAAATCATTGAGATTTTGCAGGTAATAATGATTGGTGGAATATTACATAGCAGTCATTTCACAGTTCTTTAGTTATTCATGTAGTGGCAAGTTCTATTACCTATGTTCTTAATATTCACTGGGCTATTCATTGTAAGCAAGCAAGCCAGCACCTCAGACAGTGAAGATGTGATTGTAATGGACACCAAATTGAAAATCATTGAGATTTTGCAGGTAATAATGATTGGTGGAATATTACATAGCAGTCATTTCACAGTTCTTTAGAACTTGCCACTACATGAATAACTATTACCTATGTTCTTACTATTCACTGGGCTGTTCATTGTAAAAATAACACTTTGATATGAGGAAGAATACGCCTCTGTGTGAACAATTGTACAGTTGTGGTCCTCACTCCGTTACATCTGCTTCACTTTTGAAGGAACTAGATGCTGTAGAAACTCTGTCACTATAACTGTGAAAAGGCAGAACTTGTCCTTTAATCTGCCTCACTAATGTTTTCTGAAGAGAGTGTGTCTGTTTCCATTCTCATTAACACTCGTTTTATACTGGGGTAGCTTGCTTGACTTTAGTATTTGACTCTTCTGTTGCAGTAGTTTGATGAAGGGCAGAATTGGACCTAGACCCACTGAAGTCATGCAAGGCCTTGCACTTTTGAAGTCTGTTTCAGATTTCCACTGTTTGAGAATAGTCTGTGGGCTGCTATGATTTTCTCCCAGCTGAACTGACAAGCTATATGGCACTAGCATGCCCCCTGAGATACAATTTTCACTTTGTGCTATTAGTAAGTGAAGTGGCACATGTGTGTTCTGTATATCAAATCCTAGTTTCTGCAATACTTATGCCCTGAAGGAATGTTTCAGTGTTTTCTATAAATTCTGTGGATCTTTTGGTACTATTGTTGCTTTTGAAGGATTCCATTTGTTCTGACTGCTTATAAATGATTTAGATTTACCTTAATTACTTGTCATCTGAAACACTGTCCATTGTTAGGGTATCCTCAATACTGCATACTTTGGTTCCAGAGCTCCTTTAGTTTAAGACTTACGGTGAAGGATAGAGTGTTACAAAGTTATATCCCCTAAAGAATACCATTCATGTGTGTTGCTTCTCATTTTCATTTGTTTTTTTGACTGAGTTTCTCTCCATTCTGTCTTGCTGTACTGGTTGATGCCTAGGAGAATGATTCCAGGACACCAACCTTGTCCTGTGCATTCCCTGGCTGCTCACAGGCAAGAGAATCACATTTTGTCTCATCCTTTCCTTTTTCACAGCACATTTGGTGCAAGAGCACCTGGAATTGGAGAGCATTTAATCCTAATTTGTTACTTAATCTGTGGCTTGTTAATTATGGTTTAGTCACACGGTCACATTACTGCAGATTAGCAAATTGTCATATGTTGGGTGAATCACAGTAAATGTGCATATATATGATCTTAGTTCACAAGAAATACAAAGTAATTCAGTTTCGTTTAATATGCAATGAAAGAAGATTAATTTAAATCATTCCTGTGCTATTACCCTAAAAGGCAAGTAAGAATATTTTAGATTTATTGTATTATCATACATAACTAGTACAATGGTGTTTAAAACTATTCTATTCTAAGAAATATTTCAGTTTATAATAATTTAATTCTCAAGATATCCTCTTATTGCTTTAAATAAAGGCATTTTTTACTTCAGAGTTTCCATTCTGCCATCAGCCAGAATTAAACAGATGGCCTGATAGACTTGGTTGACTATGTGTGGACTTGGGAAATTTCTATTTTTAAAAATGTTGCTTGTACAATTATAGGGTAACTTGATCATGGAACCAAAATAAACCTGTGTTTTTGCTTTTTTATTTGAAAATTTTAAAGACAAGATATTGATTCTTAAACTGACATTTTATTTGCTTTTGGATGGTATAATCCTTGTCAAATTCTCTTAATCGTATTCTGGATCTGGGAAGCTTGTCTGACTTCAGTTGGAGATCAGTTGCCACCATTTGCTAGATCATTACCTGTCGCCTGAGTCTTGGTAACTTAACACGTGTGCTTTCATCCCCACTGATTGTAAATTATGTTAAATGATCTTAAACCTGTTTCATTGTATGCTTGCATTTACTGTGGGCGAGGAGCGTAAGTATGGGAAACACCGAAACTCAGTTGACGGGCAGTCAGCTGTTGAAGTGTTGGATGTATAGGTGTCAGTCTTTAAATTGGTACTCATATTTCCAGCCTAGTTATTTTCCTCACTACTCCAATATAAAAGCAGCACTTCCAGCTTTGAATTAGGATTTTTCCTGTGTGAGTTTCTGATTTCACAGCTGAGGAACAAAAGGCACCAACAATTAGAAGAAAGCAAAGCACTCTCTGCTACCGTTACAGTGGTAGCTTCCAAAGCCAAACTGTTGGGTTTTTTTGCTGCGTGCTGGCAACACTACTAGGAGCTGATGAAGGAAATGCTATTTACTCCTCACATCCTCAGCAGATCATTAGCAATGTAACAAAAGACACCACCAGGCTTGCGCTTGGCTCCATGGGAGCCTGGAGTTACTGCAGTGCCACTGCCCTTGGCTGTTGGGCATCTGAGAGGGTGAGCCTTGAGCCTGTCATCTTTACTCTCAATCCCACTCCCCTTCTTGTCTTCATGGGGCATTAAAAGTCTAGGTTAAAGATGAAATAATTGGTTTCAACATGGATTTGAATGTACTGATCTGGCTTGCAGGCAATGAGGACAGGACAGGGTACTGGAGTCCCTGGACAAACCCAGTCTGCTGCTTGGTGGGATAGCGGTGGGGTAGAGTTCTGTATGTCTCAGGATGGTTGGAGTGAAGAAAGAAATCACAAAGTTGATGGATGTAATGGGTTCTTTTTTCATAGTGGACATAGTTAAAATAATTTACTTAAAATAAAGTATCCCTGTGCTTTCCACCACAGAAAAATCCTAACCCATGTCATCAAGTGGCAGAAGAAAAGTCTTATTTAAATTTTTTTTTCTTGTAGTTTATTCTCAGTGTTAGACTGGACTATAGAATATCCTACATGCTGTCTATCTATAAGAGGGAGTTTGGGGAAAACAATGAAAATGTTGATTGCTCTACAACATCCCCACCTGACACACCAGGCATCGCCTCAGGTAAATGTCGCAATTGTATTGCAATGTAAAATAATTCTGTGTAGACTGCTGCAAACAATGAACTCAACTATGCCAGAAAGATTCATGCTGCTTAAAGTTGAAAAGCTTGTGGAAAAATGAAAATTTTAAGGAACGCCATAAAAATAAGGTTTTTGCTGGCCTGTCCTCTTCTAACAAAAATGTGATTCCTTTTTCCCATGATGACAATTTATTCTCTTATTTATACTCTTCCCAAAACACTGCACGATGACAAATATAGTGGAGGGTGGATCATGAAAAAATAGTTGGGGCTGGATAAGGACAGATTTGAATGAGGTGAATGTGGTATGAGACTGGAGTGGCTTTCCAGGGAACATTCCTGTGCACACAGAAGTACTGAAAAGGCTGACTGCTGTCTGTGTGATCACCTGCAAGTAGGGGAGAATTGCTTTAATTGCAGGTGCTCTATAACAGAGGGGTGGCTAAGGAATACTAAAGTCTTAAGTAGTAAGGTATATTAAAGCTATTCTAAAGCAAAATGATGGTGTGGTAAATGATTTGGTTTATGATAAATACTCTAAAAGTTCATGTGTCTGCTTTGTGGAAGTTGGCTCATCTAACAAAAAAAAAAATGTAAAAATTTCATATTCTGTGTCATTTGTGGGTCGCTGGTGGTGGTTTGTACAGCTCCTAGCACCGTGGGACTCTGGTTCATCATTACAGTTTGGCTCTTCCTCAGTAATAGTAATACATAATGTAACTATGACCCGTGTGCTGTTTCTTCCCTACTACTCTTGCAGTTAGTGAATTTTGCCTAGCTGAGGAATGCATAGTTAGACCTTTACTTGATAACAACTACTTTAAAGAGGAACAGAGGTCCATTTTGCTGGGCAGATTAAACAATGATCACTGGCTTTTTAAATTCTTATTTTGATTTTTTTTCCAGCAGTTGTTCCTGACATAGATGAAATTGCAGCTCAGGCTGAAACCATGTTTGCTGGCAGGTATATTCTCTGAAGTTTTACCTCTCTATGTATATCTGTTTGTTCATGTCGATATTTCTCATAGACAATCTTTTTATTCTGTGCTTGTTTTCATACCTCTTTCTCTTCCTTTGGCTGCATCTTATTACATAACCTATACATAGACAGAAGAGTGCCAGGAAAGACCTGGATTTCAAACGGGCGAACAGCCCAGTTGGTATGGATGGCCATGGGATTGGAAATGACCACCCTCTTAGTTGGAAGAGAGCTGTTAGAAAGTTTTTGTCATGTTCCCAAAGGCAACTGGGGAATGGCGTACAGGTGTATTGGGCTAAAAAACCCTAATTATGTATTTATCTTATGCCTCACATGAATGCTTTTAAAGAAAGGCCTTTTTCTGGTGTACCTTATGGCTGTAGCCTCAGATTTCTTGTGTCAGTAGGTTACTGTTGACCCTCAGTATTTCTCGTAGACCGCATGACCTGTTGTCATTGCCCCTTGTGTTTGAACCTATTTAGAAAGTTATGTCAATAATCTTTCATATGACTGCTCAAAACAGCTGTGGACCGCTTGCCATGATCTTCTGGACCACCAGAGGCCTGTAGATCACAAGTTATGCTTGCAGAATTTTGGAAGTAATTTCAGCTACACCGCAAACAAATAAAAAAAGCACAGAAAATATCCGCACTGGAGAGTTATTACCATTATCACTATATTGGTTTAATTTTATGGGTATAATTATAATTATACCAATAAAAATTAATTCCATTTAGACAAGGCCATAGACTTTAAAGTTTTTCTCGGAGCTAGGGAGAAGGATCTGCGATATGGGCACTCTGATCTTTCCTCTCTCAGTCCCTTATGCATTCTAAATCTTTACCAGCACAAGCAATGCCTCCAGTCCTCTCCCTGAACTCCCATAATGTAAAACAACACACAGCCCTTGGCATCTGCATCTTTAAAATGAACAGAGAGACTGAAATGTTTCTTGGAAACATTATTTCTGCTTTGATATGTTAAGTGTAAATCTGCTTTCTACAATTCCAGATTATGAATATGATTCCAGAAATACGATGCTTTTGGCAATTCTTACTATTTTTGACCTTATTTTTTCTTAAATGAAATTTTAATAGCAGCTGGAATGGGAAGAAGCAAAAAGGAATGGGCCAAATTAATCTCTGATGAAATGCTGTTCACTTCAATTAATTTGGATTGGCTATGAGCTTGGCATAACTTATCCAAGACATAAATTAATGTTTTTGCAATATGGATTTTAATCACAATATTTGACACATTTCATACTTACTTTCATTTGGTGGTGTCCAGTCTGCTACAAGATTGCTGCAATAGCATATAACTGTAGGATTGAAGTTCTAATACATTAGTGATGTTTATAGTTTTCACCCTGTAGTGTATTTGATTTGGTTTTAAGAGCTCTATCAAATTAAGATTGTGTGTACAGGCATATTTATGTAAAAGTTTTTATTTTTTTTTATTTTACTTTATTTGGTCCTTTTTTTCCATTTCTATTGCAGAAAGGAGAAGAATGCAGTTCAGCTTGATGATGAAGGAGGCAGAACTTTTTTACGGGTCCTCATTCACCTCATCATGCATGACTACCCTCCTTTGCTCTCAGGTGCTCTGCACCTGCTATTTAAGCACTTCAGCCAGAGAGCAGAAGTTTTGCAAGCATTTAAACAGGTATGCATGGGCATAGCGGTATTCCAGGAAACTGACTGTGGGGAAAGTCTTTCCAAAGGCTGCTTTATTTACCTGTTTGTAGCATGACAGTGTTACTTCCTTAGAGGTCCAAATTCAGCAGAGATTTTTATTGTTTGGTTGTTAGTTGACCATATGTGCTAGTGTATATTATAGTTGTGCACCCAGAAATAGTTATTTCTGGCATTGCATCCATTACTGAAACCATAGGTCCATGGTGACAGGAGGGACACACGCATCTCGCAGCGAGATGTGATGTAGCAATCCCTCAGAGACCGAGTTAGTAGCTCATGTTCTGCAAGCAGCGTACCGGTGTCAGCAATAAGACTTTCCTGTCTTCAGGGCTACTTAGGCTGAGTATAAAGCTCTCTTGTTATTCATGTGGTGTTTCTAGTTCTAATTCAGTTGTCTTTGCATTGTGCTCCACTGCCTGATACAGATGTGTCCAAGTAACAGAAAAACAGTGATGGAGCCCTTTAAAAATAATAAATAAAGCCTGTTTTCAGCTTTTATTCTTTCTGCTTGGTAATGGTGCATGTAGAGGTTCCATGTGTCAGTGGCTTAGGATGGGGGGATTTGATGTCATGGGGCTGGATGACAGAGACATCTCTGTTATGTAACCCTATATAACATGTTGATAAGACCATCTGATGCTTACTTCAGGAGTTTGATAGCATGTTGTCTCATTGTTGTGTAAGATGTGGAGCTTTCTCTTGTTTAAAAACAGATGAATGATAAAGACCTGGAAAGCTTTTGTTTAATGTTTTTGCAGTGTAGCATAACGGTCTCCCACCAGATTGTTAGTTAGGCCATGCTGATTAGTTGCATAAACTTGCCAGGTTTTTATATATATATTATATATATATATCTTAACGTGTTTTCATAAATGATGGAAAAGGCTAATTGACAAATAAAGAAAAAACATTATAGAGAACATGGAATATGAATGTCTGTGGATGAGCAGCATTCATAAATTCTGTAAAATAACAAGGTTTTACCAAGCTGAGAGAAGATTATGAAAACTTTATATTACAAAATAGTGAATATTTGCCTGCATGTCGTGATTTTTTAAAGAATGTCCCTATCAGTGTTCTTGTCTACCATGTGACCTTATTCTTTTACATTAATATAATTTCTTAATAGTGCTTATTGATTTGCTGTACAAATTGTTGTTAGTTTTTTTGAATATTATCTTCATTAATAATCTTAGAACAAAGAGCATTACAAAGAAGGAAATCTGTAGATCATGCTAAATCAAGAACTACAAATAACAGTGGAAAAAACCCCAGAGAATTTGAGCAGTACAAAAAAAAGAATAAATGATATTAATCTTAGTAAGAGGCAGCCACTGAGATGGTGGGAAATTACATGAACCTGAAAGTCAGCTTGTGAGCTATATTCAAACAAGTTTTTCTAAGCTGACCTAACAGTGTTAAAGTCTGTTATCTTTCAATATTTGATTATGATGATGTAGGTGATCATCAAAGTTGCTGGCCATTCTGACTTTTCTTTGGATGTCCTGATTCCTTGTCATATCATGCTTTTTTTCCTTGTGAAGTACTGTGCTGATGGGATAAGCTGTTTCTAACTGTATTGCTTTAATACTATGTTACTGTGTTGTTTTAATACCATGAGGATCATAATCAGTGCATCAGAGCTAACTGCATAGAACTCAAGAGCTTGTAAATCTGTGCTTGTGCTGAAAATGTTTCACAGTGAATTAGAGAAGGCGAGAGGATGTTGTGAATGTTATAAATATCCTGTTTTGGGCAACTACAGTCTCTGGCTCTGTTAAAGGTTTTTGATGAAGGGGGACTAAAAAGCCTGCATGCGCCATGTTTCAATTCATAGGGAAGGTTACATAAAGCACCTGAAAAGAGGGGCTTGGAATGGAAACTGTCAAGCAAATTACCCAGGCATAAGTGCTGGTACTACTGCTGTAATTGCTTTACAATTTTCTGTATTTCCAGGTTCAGTTGCTGGTGTCTAATCAAGATGTTGATAACTACAAGCAAATCAAGGCTGATCTTGATCAGCTACGTCTGACTGTAGAAAAATCAGAATTGTGGGTTGAGAAGAGCAGCAATTATGAGAGTGGAGAGGTGGGCGACAATCAAACAAAAGGGGGAGAAGAACCAATAGAGGTGCGTTTAAAGCCTTTGCTGTTAGAATTGTTTCACTATTGGTAGGTAGTTTAATGAAAAACTGTAAATTTGTGGTCTGGTTAAAGTAGCAAAGTGAGAATATGCAGAATTCTGGCTGAGCTTTAGGAATAGACAGAATAGGAAATAAAACCTCTTTATCAGCGTTCAATATTCTCTCATGCTGCTTTTAGTAACTCTGTTCTTATGTCACAGAGCTGCCTTTTTTCTGGCTAGTGAGCAAGCCACAGTATACAGCATCACTCTGTTGCCAAGGAAGTAATCTAGGGATCACATGTTGGCAGTTGTGTTGACTTGCTGGAAGAAAGGAGGAGTAGGCAGTATCTGTTCCTGCAACTGGGGGAGAGGAGTGCAATCAAACCCGTATTTTGAAACTTTACAAGTAATTCCACTGTCCACCAAACATAAAACTGACTTAATATTGAGATTTTGTAGGTGAACTAACGTGATTTTTTTGTTATTTTGACTCTTGTCATACTGCACTCTTGGGATATACTGTGATTTGAGAAACTTCAGAACTTGAATCTGGAACCACAAAGACCTGATTTTTTTTTTTTAATTTAATTGCTGTTTTTCTTTTTAGTTTTTTTTTTAGTGAAAACTGAGGTCCTCATATAATCACCTAAATCTAGTATGAGTCTTCAAGAAAATGCAAAGTGTTGCAAGAGTGGCTATGGTTGAGGTTTGTGGCATAACAGTAGATAGAGCAGGCTTTCCCACCAATATTTATTCCCACTTTTCCATTTTCATCAGAGGAAGTGGGGAGAGATGAACAACTGTGATTTCTGACACAGCACTTTCCTTATTGTCGTCCGTGGTAGAGTCTTCCCTGGTGGCAAGAAAATGGGCAAGGAAGCCACAAGGGGATGCTTAGTAGGAAGCCAAGTGGAGATTATACAGCACTGAAGCCAATGCACTGAGAAAAAGTAGGAGCCATTGAGAAGAGAGAGGATGTTTGCAGATATCTATGATACACACTTGGCCTTTCAGATGGTAAAGCAGATTTTAGGTGGCTTTATGTGGGGGAAAATCCAACACTTCAAGGGAGAAATACAATTTCTTGGGACAGTACCGGTTCCACTCTTTCTCAGATTTCTCTGAAACTCTTAGCTGAGTTTAGTGGTGTCAGAACTGGGGAGGAATCTGCACTTTGGGTTAAGTATGTGGGATTTTCTACTTTCTTTCCTCAAGCATAGCTCTAGTAGGAAAGAACATATTCCTTTGTCTATTTAATGAACGGAAAAGGTAATGGGGAAACAAGATACAGAATTGCAGCAGGATATTTACAAGGTTTTTTAGCTGTAATACATTTTAAAAGTATAATAAGTTCCTTTTTATTCCTACAGATAGCCCTGATAGCAAAGAAACTCCAGGAGGAGGGGACAAAACAATGTACTTGAAAAAGAAGCATCTCTAAATGGGATATTTTTTAGTGTTTTTTTCCCATGAGGCATCTGTGGGTCTGTATGGATTAGCAGTACTTGAATAAATGCACAATATTATCTCTGGCAGATTTAAGAGAGTGTTGTATCAGAACAGTAATATGTAATCTGCACAACTGGTTAGATCATCTGATGGTAATTCCATGAGAGCTGCGCCAGGTTACAATAGCTCAGAATCTTGTCCATTATTTCCCCTCCCTGTTAAATTATTCTTTAACAGTCAGGAAATGTTTTTACCTGGCAAAACTACTTTAGATAGTGAATACTCTCTTTGAGATCTTAAGTCAGACGTAAGAGGTGAGGTGCTGGTCATAACCTACAATATGTGAAGCAGGTGGCTAGCTTCAAGCAGATAAACATCCCTCTGAGATCCCATGCTTTCTTGGAATGGATGCTGGGTATTCAGTACTGAGCTGGATGAACCTCTAGGGAATATGCTTCATTTGCCTGTGCTTGATTTTTTCCAAACAACATTAAAGTGCGCTTAAGGGCTTAAATTACGTTCCAGAACAGTGTTATGTTAAGCCCAAGTTTCTGTCCTCACTGAAGCACATTGCAAGATTGGCATAAGTATTTTAAAAAATCAGGTATCTTTTTTTGCCCTTACGCTTCTGAGTCTTTGTGGGTAGTTGCTTCCACCTCTCTATCATAACCTGGTGGGGCTAGAGACTTTACTTTCTTTTTTTCTTTTTTTGCAGTCATATGACTCCAGAAATGAGATTTGTAGAAAAAAGGCAGTGTTCTTCTAAATAAAGTATACAGAGTTCTCCACAGGAAAAACAACACACAACAAATCTTACATCCATGCAAGATCATCTTGATAAGAACTGGAGATCAGAATTATATGAAAGAGTGCTTGGAGTTAGGTCAGACATAAATTAGACATCATATAGGATTAGGAAGAAATGCTGAAATTGGTCTCACATAACTGAGCCTGGCTTGAGAAGGGAAAAGCAGATAAAGCCTGTTTTCTTGGTTATATCTAGTAAGGGTGTTATGAGTCTGTATAGATACCATGAACTATGGAAAGTGTGGTCTTTATTGTCCTATCACTGGAGGATGCATTGGTGTTGCAGCACCAGAAACACAGATCTGAGGAGGAGAAATAGGCAGTCTCAGTGAAAGGACTCTCAGGTGAAGCTGAAATACAGTGCAGTGGCATTTATAGAACAACTCATCTTCACCATCTGCTGAGAAAGTTCAGCGAGGTTTCAAGTGGTATAAACTTTCAGCACCCTTAAGCGCCTGGTGTTCCCCTGCTCTCCTCCTTTTCTGGTCTGTGGCAGTTTGCTTTGGTTCTGGAAATGTTTAAACAAACATCTCCTGAAACATCATATATAGGTTGAGATGGTGAACTGAAACTTCTGAGAGTGTCCCTCATTCCCCTGGTAAATAAATACAGCCTGGCGAGGGCAAAACTGTGCCTGCGTGACACTGACTTCTGCCTTGCACAGCTGTCCTGCTGAGATGAGTGAGACTGTTTCAGCGGTGGGGACCTGCTCGGACTGAATGCTGGAATCTGGGCCGCCATTTGGGGGGTAGAAAGAAAGGATCCTAAGACTGATGCAGGGTGATATCCGAGGAATTTAATGAATAGAGGAAGTAGTCTTTTTCAGAAAATACCATTTCCTAAAGGTGGGGTACTTGGATGAGAACCTTTCTCAGTGCCATCTCTGTGACTCCCTGTCCCCTATGGAAAAGTGTGACAGAGAATGTCTGTCATGGGGTGTAATGAGGCAAGATATGCAACTGAGTGTCGCTGGTATCCCAGTGGTGTGATTATCTCTTGATAACTACATCCCTGGTATACTCTTATGGATTCAATAAACAGGTTTTTATTTTGTTAAGAGAAAGGACAGATTCAGCAGTTTAATGCTGATCAGCACTTCCAGATAAGACATATAGTTCACATGGATTATAAAACTACTTTGATTGAGGAAGAATGCTGATAAAAGTAACAGGTAAATTAATCTTGGTTCACCCACAGTCCCAGAACAGAGGAGGGTGGTTAATTATAGCAAAGAGCCTGAAATATCTTCCAAAGTATTGATTCAAACAGCTAGAGAGAAGGCAGCATGCATACTAACAAACCTAAACAAATAAAAATCCACTGTTATTGCATAGATCAACATGACCACGCTGAACAGCGGTGCTGACACTGTTATAAACAGCTTCCATGGCCAAGTGGTGCAGCTGTTCTTGCCCCACTGGAAATTAAGGCCAGATGGGATTTATAGAACTCCTCATCTTCACCATCAGCTAAGAAAGTTCAGAGAGAGGTTTCAAGAGGTGTAAACATTCAGATTGGCATGCATGTGTATGTTTTAGCATAATTCTCTTCTCTAAAACAGTAGGAAGTTTGAGGACACAATGAAACTCAGAAGCACACCTGTTTCTTCTTTTTTTGTGCTATTACACTGGTTTATATCCTTGTGGTTATATTGTGAGGCAGTCTCAAGATCTGCTACTGTTTTTCTACATGCTTAATAATTGCAGCATCCAAAGTCCAATCTTTCAATTCTTTGTGTTTCCAGTTAAGAAAGGCTTACCATAGCTAGCAGCATAAAAAAAAAACCAAACCCACTGCCAGTATTCTAAGTAGCAGTATTTGTGTAGATGTTCTTATGTGTTTTGATCGAGATATGCATGGAAAGGTGCGTGGGTGTTGGCAGTTACTTACTGACTTGATCTCTCTTATTTATCATACCCAGCTGGGGCTTTCTAAGAGCCAAGGCCCAGAGCATATGGCGTCATGACTGGATGTTGCAGTTTAACATAAGGTTCTCATTTGTTTTTAAATCCTTTTCTGCATCATTCATAGATAAGGACAGAAGTGTCCTCTTCATTGGACAAACATCTCTAATTTCCACGTGCTATTTGTTCCTGTACTGCTGAGAACTCCACCCTACTTATCTGAACTGTAGAGGTCATCTTAAGCTTTCTCCAGGCTTTTTAATGTTCACATACACTGACTTTGTAATCTTTCTAGCTGTATTAGAGATTTTTGGAACAAGTGGTGGCTATTGAAATACACTTATTGTCCCTATTCTCATAGTATCTAAATTTCTTGGGATGTCTAGTCTGGGATTTAGGGACGTATTCTTTTTTAGGAGGATCAGAAGCATGAAGACATATAGTAATTATCTCAAATCGTGTTGGAAATTTGAAACGAAGGATTTGAATGTCAATCTTTTCACTCACTGGACCAGTGGATAAAGAATAAACAAGTCTTTATTATTTGTGTTTTATCTGTTCTCTATGAGTTGCTGTAATACTTCCTCACTTGCTGTTGTTAAATATAGTTAGTTCATGTTGAGGAAATTGCAATAGATCTCCACTTTTTGTGTGTTCTTTGTTACAGGAGTCAAATATCTTGAGTCCAATACAGGATGGGACCAAAAAACCCCAGATAGACAGCAATAAAAGCAATAACTACAATATTGTTAAAGAGGTTGGTATATCTGCTAAGAAACTTGCTTGACATACTTGTTTGATAAGTAGATTTAGTAATTATTTTGAAAGAATGTGGTTTTGCTTGGTTTTGTGTGACATGACTGGTTCTTTGCTTGCTTGCAGGCTTATTTATTTGTTTATTTATTTATAGATTTTGATTCGACTCAGCAAACTGTGTGTTCAGAATAAAAAATGTCGGAATCAACAGCAACGATTGCTGAAAAATATGGGCGCCCACTTGGTAGTCTTGGACCTTCTGCAGATACCCTATGAAAAGGTTATTCTCATAATTTTAGTGGTAAATAACATGAACTTAATAAAGGGAAAGGCCTCAAGAGGCCCAAGAATCAATGTGAATATTTCTTTAAGCTTAATTCAGTCAACTATGCTACAAACATGAAATGATGATGCCATTTTCTGCCTTAAGAATAATGGGTTTGGGCCTAAGTTTAAATATGGCTGCCTGCATAGAACAGGTTTTATTAAGAACTTAATGTTTACTGCCTCAGGTACCCGGATGCCACTGTGCTATCATCCTATTCCTGAAATAGGCAAACCTTAGATCTGCAGTCACTGCACAGTAAGAAGTATTGATTTAATGGAGCTTCTGGCAGAGTATCTAAGTTCCACTGTTGAGTACTGATGTGAGTGCTATTGTAGATACATAAGGTGGACAAAAAGCTTTCAAGGATCAAGTCTGAAATAATTTCTTTTTTTCTGTGGTGAAGCCTCTAACCTAGTTCCATTTGCAAGTTTTTTGGAAGATAATGTGATTTTTGTACTGCTTTGGTGGCATTGAGCATACAAATGAATGATCTAGATAGCCTTTCAAAGAGCACATCTTTCTAGATCTTATAGGAAGCATTGAGAGGAGATAAAACCTCTTCTGGGCTACGTTTTCCTGAGTGTTACGCACTAATGTCATGATATAGTCACTGGGTTCAGCTGTCATCAGTAAAATAGTGCTTGTCTGTATAGATGGTTCATCAAATCATAGTTAGAATACTATATAAGAGGAATATAAAAGGACGATGAAACTAGACATATATTTGTGTGCGAGTATGTGTGTGAACATATATATTCGTGTAGGTGTACACACACACGCACGCATACATCTGTTTCTATATGTAGCTATATAAAAGCCAAAGCTTTTCAAAAGCTTAAAAGTAATGCAGGCTAGAGAGCTTTTTTTGAAAATCAAGCCACTTAGCACTTTTTTGAACTAGGAAATTATAACCATGTATGAGGAAATCTTAGTTTGAGTTTGTGCTTTTACCTGTGACTCCCTATGGTCAAGTCGATTCAGAGTGAGGTACAGCCACTAACGGACTCTGAAGGAAACTAGAGCAGTTGCTTTTGCCAGAGGGAGAAGTCCTGCCCTGTAAAGGCTCAGGAGAGTTGGTTTGTTCCTGGCTGAATTCACGTTGTGCGGTTTTAACAAGTATGTTTAGGTACACCCAGCTGATTTTGTTTGTCTTTTCTTTCTGCAGAGTGATGAAAAGATGAATGAAGTTATGAATCTAGCCCACACTTTTCTTCAGAATTTCTGTCGAGGAAATCCTCAGAATCAAGTTCTCCTCCACAAAAATCTCAACTTGTTCTTAACTCCAGGGGTAAGTATTTAATTTTAAGGAGAATATTGTAACTGGAAGTAAATTTGGACTTGCTGAAAAATGACAGTGCTAAATAAATAATTTCATTAAAATATGCCCTCTCTGCCTTCTCTTCTCTGTCCTTGTCTTTTCTGTCTTATTGTCTTCTCTCTCCTGTCTTCTCTCCCTTATCGTTGCTGTTTATGTCATTGTTTTTAATGCTGCCATTTTAAAAGTGGAAAACAATATTACCTGTGGGGTTTACTGGAACTGTCTATGAACATATGTCACGTCATCACATCATAATTAGCTTGACTCTGATCTTACTCATCCTAACTCCCTTGGACTATAAGTCCAGGTAGAAGAGACTGTGACTATGCTGTCACGAAGCTTGTGTGAAAGCAGAATCAGACCCATACATTTTTGTTGATGATGCTTCCATTTGATGTAACTAATCTAAAATTTGATCTTTTATTAAATCATTGCCTTTATAGTAAGCCTCTTTGTCACGGTCCCTTTGTGTATATGTGTATGTGTGTGTTTACAGATACAGTCATATAGAATGACACCTTATTCAGTGGCAGATCTACTGAGCAAAACATGCTTTTATTAGAAAGAGTGCGAGTATTAGGATCGTAGACCCCTGGCCTGCATACATTAGGAAGCATTTGTTCTGTTATTTTTTATTTATGCTTTTTTTGTGAAGTTAGTGAAAGGCACTGAGCTGACCACAGTGGGGACTAGCGCCTAGACTCCATCCTATCCAACACTGACACTTAACTCAGGTGCCAAGTGTGCAGCCTGCTTGCACATGCATTTCTGTTCTTCTGAAGTTGATCTTCTGATCATCCCAGTTACTGTGCTTTTGTTCACATTGTGGAGCAAACTTGGTGTGGATTCCTTTCAGATGACACTAAACATAAAAGTATACTGTAGGAGCACACCTGACCCTCATGAGCCTTTAGTCCAAGGGACCAAACTAGAGCAAGTTTGAAGCAAAAGCCCCAAGAATGCATAAAGTCTGGATGCTGGGTCCTCAGCAGCATCCCTTTCTTGCTACAGATCTGTTCCTCTTGTACTGTACTAGTCACAGATAGAAACGTAGCCTTAGGCTCCCTCTGTACTTAATGTGGAAAGAGACGTTCTCTCAAAGAGTGACCAGACTGCACGTGCAATGATTTGCCTGCTGGAAATGCCTTCCTCTGTCTACCACAGAGGGAACCAGAGGTAGCTGATCATCCTGTTTGGTTGCCTCAGTGCAAAGTTTGATGGTGAGTGGGATGAATGTAGTCTCAGTTGTCTGGTATACCAAAGTCCCTATAGAGTGCTCTAGCAGTGTACTATGTGTATATGTGTCTTCACTTTCCACATGGACACAAATTTTGTTTACATCCACTTTATGACCATTTTGTACTCATATGAAAGTGTGGAGAAATCCCATCATAAATGAAAGCTAGGCCCTAAGGTCACTGCTTAATCGCTGGGGCATGTTGGACTTTTCCAGGTTCCCTTTAGCAATGTGCCTTTCTCTAGTCTAGAGTCCTGTGAATCCTTCTGTCTCAAAACAAATCTGCTCTTGTTGTAAGACTGTTTTGATTTTACTCTGTTTAGCTGCTGGAAGCTGAAACCATGCGGCACATCTTCATGAATAATTACCTTCTGTGTAATGAAATTAGTGAAAGAGTGGTGCAGCACTTTGTACACTGCATTGAGACCCATGGCCGTCATGTGGAGTACCTGCGTTTCCTGCAGACCATTGTGAAAGCAGATGGCAAATATGTGAAAAAATGCCAGGACATGGTAATGACAGAGGTAAGAGAAGGGTTCATATGTTAATCACTTGTGTGATGTCTTTTTAACACACTAGTATTTTCAGGTTGCTTTTTCTGCTCTTGATACCAATGAGATATAATGGCATCATCCCTTTAGAATTTTAAACGGTATCACAAATAATGAATATTTTAGCAGACTTTTTGGGAGTCTAATCTAATTTTGTAAGGCCATCTGTATAACTACTAGAAAGAAAACATGAGTGTTAGCATGGTGATACAGAGATGTCTATTTGTAGATGATGTAGCATGGAAATCTCAGTGTTACATAAACCTTCATTTTCCTGTACTGTAATTTAGGCTCCCTTTTACGCACCAAACTTGCCATATTGCGGCATAGTTTTGCCATATAAGAAGCTCCTACCTCTATCAGTTTGGCTAAATAGTGTGGTAGACGTTTTCTTAGCATGTAACCATGTAACAATTTTAGGTACTAGTTTCTGCTTTTTGTTTCTTTTGTTCCAGAGCATTTCTGTAAGAGTCAGTAGAGCTACTCTAGCTTTAACTAGCTAGATTTGGAGTCTGACTCGGTAAATTCCAGAGAGTTGTTTGTGGGCAAATCTTTATGCCAATAAAGTTACTAGGAAAATACCTAATTGACTTCTCTGCAATTAGGATTTGATATATAGTGTGCATGATAAATGAAGTCTTCAACTTGCAGACACTCATGCATTTAACTGTAATTACGTTAACAGTTCAATGAGATTAATGAGTGGGTAAAGTTAAAGATGGTGAAAATTCCAGGTAGGGTCAGAGTCCAAGGAACATTTTTCATTACAAAAGTGAATTTTTTTTCTGTTGTTTTAAGAGACATCTTCACAAAGAAAACAGAGATAAGCTTTAGTTGTGGTATGAAGAAAACTAAATCCTGCCGAAATTTTGTTCCACAGCAACAAAGAGGAAAAACTTCTAATTAAGAAAATAAAGCTTCAGCCTACATGGATAACCTTTAATGGAATCCACCTCAACCTTTTCAATTTGACTGAAGTGTTTTAACATGCAATATCAATTACAAGCTGTTGATTTACATAATTCAAATAGTTCTTGTGCCTTTGTGCTTTTAGATTTTTTTTTCCCCTTCCACCACAGCTTCTTCTAGGTTTTTACTTTCTCATCAAACAAAATATTTAGATTTTTCTCAATTTAAATACATTTTGTTACTCACCTATAATAGCACAAAGATCAGTTTTCATACTACATGTTCAAGCTGACTGCATGATGAAAATCAAAACGAACTCGGATGTGACATTTACATCATGAGTCCTGCAGGAATTTGCTGGGGGGAGGGAGCACCCCTGTTTTGATGAAAAGAGGATAAGATGATGATCTGTTTGAAAAAAAGTAGGAAATTACAGGTAAGTGATTATGATTTGTTAGAAAAGGATGCTGATAGTGAAATGTGAATGGCGCTTGAATGGCAATCCAATATAAAGGGAACAGTGTAGCCAAATGTTTGGAACTTGCCATTGAGTCAGGACAGTTTCGCAGTAAAGAACTGAGATGTACTTTGTGACCTTAAACAAGTGGTGTAACTTATCCTGTGCCTCCAGATGGGGCATGTAAACAATTTACCACTAGACAAGATAGAGTATGAGTGTACAGCATGCCTCAACTACTCCTGTATTTTCTTTTACCCATGGGAAGTATATTGTAGGTTCTTCCTGTTTACTGGGAGTAAAGGATAAACTGATCATATTTTACACATTTTAGAAAGTGCATACAGATGAAGGAGCACGATTGCAAAAGAGTACTTTCATAAAATATGTTGAACATTCCCAGTCTGGCTTAGTCACTTGTTTTCATATCCTTGGTCCCCATACCTGTAGAGTGCTAGTAATGATGTTTACTGACCTGAAAGGTTCCTTAGGGCACTTTTTCTGATTACAAGCATGCTTTGAGGTTCTGGAAGAACAGTGCCTGTCAGGGCAAACATTATTACAAAAGGGAAAGCAGAATTTGCTTTTGAACCGGATCGATGTGGCAGCAGAGTTTTCTATTATCCATAGTATTCTGGAGTGATACATCGCACAGTGTCAACAGCTGCTCTGAGAGTGACCAACCGTCTTTATACTTCCACAGAGTTCTTAACTTGTTGAAAATATAATTTAGTGGAAGAAAATGCTGCTGTTTTCTGTCCCCCCATCACTGAGCTCATGATGCTCAGTGAGAACTCTGGCTGACAGGGGATACTTCTCTTCCTCTTCTGCTTTTAAAGGGACATAATTTTCTCTGCTTGGGTTAATGTTCGGGTGCCTTTTGCAAATCACATTTAAAAGTGGATAACTTGAGGAAAGGGAATGACATCATCTTCTGTCCTTGCATTTACAATGATTACCTTCTCTCCCTTAGCTCTTGTGCTGATGCAACATCATCTGCTTCAGTTTGTGGTTCCTTACAGTATGTAGCAAGCATGCTGTGCAGCACAATGCTTCACAAATTCACTATCTTCTAGTATTTATTCCTCATTCATCAGTGATAGGTACATGAAAGGATGAGGGGTCAGTTTGACTTGATATGGTAAAATATCAACCAATACTGGTGCAGATTAGGTCTGGATTTGACATGAGTGTAACTCTGGGGGAACCTGGAAAGAGTCATCTTCCCTCTCCTCTGTGCAAAACGTACACAAGTGGAAAATAACTATGGGAATGTGGTGAACAACTTAATGGGAAGTGACAGAGCATGCACCTTCCCAGAGGGCTCGGTGTGGATTTTTATTAGTTTGTATGTAAAATGTCCTAAAAGCATAGTATTCCAGACATCAGTTTTAAAAAGTTAGGTCAATTTTCAACATTTTGAATACTTCTATTTTCGCCCCCTTTGTTTTTTTGCCATTGAGTTCAATGAAATTAATGATATCTGGGCCCCTGTACTGTCTCCTTCCTCCTCTCCAAGCACTTGTCCCTTTAAAAACTTTTTTCTGTACTGTGGATTGTCCAGAAAATGTCTGTTTTGAAAAGTTTTAGAAACCCAAAGGTAAATGAGAAATAGCAATTGCAGGAAAGACTGAATTCACAATTCACTCCATCCAATTGTCAAAGTAAAAATAAGCTAGAAACAGGGAAAGCACAATCAGAAAAGTGGTAAATTCAAAATTTGAAATGTTGAAACCCTGGAAAATGTAATGAAATGTTTCTTGACTTTTCATTCTGGGAGACTAATTTTCATTCCTGCTCTTGCTGCTTTCCTGTTTCTCAACAGCTCCACCAACCTTTATTTCTACCCTTGAATCCAGTAAGCTACGATTTCATTTCACATACAGACTTGGATACTTCAAGTGCCTTATTCTCAAAATACGTACAGCTGACGTGCTGCCAAGGTGTATTCTGTACTAGAAAGGGTTTACAGGAGCTTATTTTCACCTGCTTTGAGAGTGCATTATGCTTAAAAGGAAAATGATGGAGAGTAGACAGGTCTACTGTCCTGTCTCTTCTCCATTCAAGCTCACCGAGCTGACCATAGGTATATTCAGCATATGGGGGGTTCAAAACAGGGTTAAAGCAAAAATTCTCTGTGAGATCTGCTGAGATGGGGCTGCCAGCATCCGCCTCCGCTCTGGGTCCTCTTGAGATGAGCAATGCACTTGTAGCAAAATAAAATATTTATCACATACACCGGTTTTCTGTTAAATGGAAGTGCTGGCATGACACTGACAGTGTAAAGACCCACCTGCCAAATTTGCATAAGTTGGGAAGAATTGTCCTTGGTTTCTGATGCTGAGCAAGGGTACAGAAAAGGTTCGTTAAAGTCTGGGTGAGACACAGGCTTTTTGTGTGAGGCAGCACAGAAGATTTAATCTATAAAACAGGGATAACAATGCATCCTAGCCTCACAATAGGAGGTGAGGATAATTAATTAACTTCAAACAAACATTGAGATGGTAGGAATAAGGATGGTGTACTGTCTTGGGTAAACACAGAGCTACATAGAAGTTAAACTTCAAATTCACCTTGCATTAGCTCACTGCTTGGTGAGTTTTTTCAGATTTGCACTTATGTAGATAAGAGCATAAGTTTACCTTGGATATTGTTTTTACATGTGCATTTGGTAAGCCACATCAGAGTAATTTTTGTTTAGTTTTTAGCTAGACCGTCTTCGCATACTTAAAGGTAGAACAAAGTAAGAAATTAAGAAAATCATAGAATCATTTAGGTTGGAAAAGACCTTTAAGATCATTGAGTCCAAAATTACTGCAGTGCAGGGTGCTTAAAAGTTTGTGGTATCTTTTTCAGCTGATAAATGGTGGTGAAGATGTATTGATATTCTACAATGACAGAGCTTCATTTCCAGTCCTACTCCAAATGATGTGTTCAGAGCGAGATCGAGCAGACGAGAGCGGACCCTTAGCATATCACGTCACTCTGGTGGAATTGCTAGCGGCTTGTACAGAAGGAAAGAATGTATACACAGAGATCAAGTGCAATTCACTCCTGCCACTGGATGATATAGTAAGAGTAGTGACCCATGATGACTGCATACCTGAGGTAAGATTCACTGAATGAGGACGTGGACTTACCATTTTTAGAAACTCAGAAAATATTTTGTTGTTTATAATATGCTGACAAGTTGAATATTTGCACAGAAAACAGGCTGGAAACAGGTGGTGTTTGGTAAGGTGAACAAGTGAGAAAGGATAGCCAGTATTTTCTTAAACAGAAAATTCCTTGTCCCTTATGTTTCAATTGCCAGCTTTTTGGGGCAGACACCTTGTTTTGTTTTCCTGGGTTTGTCCAGCCATGCTCCGAGTTTAATGGTCTGATAACTTCTGGCTGTAGCTGCGAAGACTCAGCTGAGTGGTTTGTCAAGCCAACGTTTTGCCGCTGCCTGAATTTGTTGGAAATGATGGGTAACATTCCGGCCACACTGAAGTCAGTGGGAGTTTTGGGGGAAGTCTCGTTTTATTAAATTCAGTTGCAGTCCAGCAAATGTTTGTATTCAGTGTGTATCAAGGCCCAATTCTGCAGCTACTACCAGTCATGCTTCAGCGGGACTGTGATACCTCACACTGATCAGAAGGGGAATGCTTGTTTGCACCAAACCTGATGTGATCAAAAGAAATCTTTTCACAGTCTTTGCAAGGAGCTTGTTCTGGCCTTGTGTATTGATGGGATGGATTTCTGCAGGCTATCTGGTGGAAGAATGTGGCTCCTATCAACAGAACTGGGACCTGCAGGACTAAAAACTTCCTCTGTGCTGTAAAAAAGTCCCCTTATGATCAACTGATTCTTTTCTTAAAAAGAAAAATATGTTTGCTTTGCTCAAAAGTTCCTCGTAACATTAATTTCAGCAGATGCTAATTTAAAAAAAAGCCCAAACAAATAAAGCCTATAAGTCTGACCTGAGTTTTCTCCTGAATGTATTAAACATATGCAACTATCTACTCTCCTTTGACTGCAACAAGAAAAATTTTCAGTGTATCTGCATATGTTTGTATTTAATCTATACATTTCAGGCACTGGATATCCATTTTTATGATGTGCACATGCAGACTTGTAATGCAGGAGACGAGTGACACTGCAGCCCTCCTGTTAGGCCCCGTGCTGCTGTGGCTGCAGTTCCAGCACTGCACAACCTTTCTCTTCCATTTAGACCCAAGTTACACCCATCTCGAATGTAAGCACTGCATTAGGATTGTGGGAATATAGGGACTGCAGTCCCAGCACTGCTAAAGACTTTTTTTTTTGATATTTGGCAAGCCTGTCACAAGGCATCAACCCACAGCAGTCAACCGGCAAGTGCAGAGGTGTCCTGCATTTTCACAGCTCCTGGCTTTGGAGCCAGTCTCTTGTAGTCTTAATGTCATTTAAATAAGAGATTTATTATTGGTTTGTTTTGTGAGGGTTTTGTTGTTAGAGTAAGATTGTTTGTAAAACCTTTCTATTTTTTTTATGTGATCTTTCAGGAAGTACATTAAGGCATTTGTTGCCGTGCTTTTGCTTAAATCTTCAGAACTGAACATATGCATTATTACTGTTATTTGTGTTAGTACTTGAAGGATCGCCTATATTGTTCAGTATTTTTGCAGATAGAAAACATCACGTTAATGGTTTTTACTGTTCCATTTCATATGGTTTGTGTTTTTTGCTCTTCCTGCAGGTGAAAATTGCCTATGTTAATTTTGTTAACCACTGTTATGTGGACACTGAAGTGGAAATGAAAGAAATCTATGCCAGTAACCATATTTGGAAGTTATTTGAGAACTTCCTTGTTGATATGGCAAGGGTAAGCTTCATGAGACATTAAATGTTACAATATAGTCATGGGTGGCAACTGAACTGGCAATAACTTTTTTAACTGTTTTTTTCAAAGTTGACAATAGAATAGGTGTGGGGTCATTTCTATGTTATTTATAATCATGTAACCTGCTAATTACTAGCAGTCTTCTCTTTCTAAAAGGGCATCTTGGAACCCATGTTGTTTTCTCTTTTCTTCCAGAAAAATAAATTGGATAGACGTACAGGATTGAGAGTCTTTGTTCATCTTCTGGGAGCATGTGTTTACATGTCATTATGGTGGTGACTAAAAAAAGACTCCAAACCTGTAATCTTGCTTTATTCTGTTAGTACAGTGAGGATCAGGGATCAAGAAGTTCTTTGGCTCATGTTCCTTCTTTAATATCACCTCAGCCTGTTTTTGTAACTTATTCTACTGTTACTACATTCTCACCACTGATGTGAAATGCAGGTGTAGAGCTGTGGTCTTTTGGAATACTAATTCATATATAAACCATAGACTTCAAGGTTATGGGGGGCACAGTTAGTAACTGTAGGCATTCAATTCCTGTGGACCCTTCATGGTGTCGTTACTTCTTGAATTAAGTTTCAAGACAGAAGCTGAATTAAGGTTCCATTCCCTGGTATTCTGGAGGCAGAAAACAAGGGAAATCTTATGACTTCCAGAAGAATAAAATACAATAGTAGAGACATGAGGGGAAGCTAGTATGACATAATGATTACAGCTTACATTACATATCCTTTTCTAGGAGGTTAATGCTTCTTATAAGAGCCTAATATTAATACCAACTACTGGGGTTGATCTTCCTGCTCAAGAAGTAGAACCACAGGTTTTTGGTAGCTGGTGGACTGGAGCGAGTGCAGAAGAGGCCACGAAGATCATCAAGGAGCTGGAGCACCTCTCCTGTGAGGAAAGGCTGAGAGAGTTGAGGTTGTTCAGCCTGGAGAAGAGACGGCTCCAGGGACACCTTAGAGCAGCCTTCCAGTACCTAAAGGGGCCTATGAGAAAGCTGGGGAGGGACTTTTTACAAGGGCAGGGAGTGATAGGACAAGGGGCAATGGCTTTAAACTGGAAGAGGGAAGATTTAGATGAGATATTAGGAAGAAATTCTTCATTGTGAGTGTGGTGAGGCACTGGGACAGGCTGCCCAGAGAGGTGGTAGATGCTCCGTCCCTGGAAGTGTTCAAGGCCAGGTTGGATGGGGCTTTGAGCAATCTGGTCTGGTGGAAGGTGTCCCTGCCCATGGCAGGGGGGTTGGAACAAGATGATCTTTAAGGTTCCTTCCAGCCAAACCACTCTATGATTCTATTTGATCCTTGATGCTGGACAGTATTTTGGAGATGTTATAGAGCATGTTGTCGTAGTCCATTACACATTTTATAATCCTGAAGTTCGCACTCCTTGCATTCTTTATTTTGTTGAAATAAAGAAAAAAAGTAAAAGAATCTCAATTCAGTCCTGCAGCGGACATTTACCCCAAAGTAATAGTGTGCCACAAAATAATTTCTTTGAAACCTACTGGGAGAAAATACCATGGATTATGGCCAAAAGAAGAATCGAATGCAAAGACTTCTGTATGATAGACACTGCGACTCGTTCATTTCTCTGTGAAACAGAGACCTTATAAATGGTTGGGTGTGGTGGTTTTTTTGTTTGTTTTGTTTTGTTTTTTTCCTGGGAACAGGTTAAGACAGGGATGTTTGTGTGTCTCTTTTGTGGTAGCCATTTTCAACAGTAATGAGACCTCTACAAACCCTGTTTTCCTGCTGTTTGTCTTGTCCCTGTGGTCATGTTCTACAGTGAAAGCCTTCTGGACAAACTATGCTTGCTTGAAAATTAAGATCAGAAGTGTCCTTGGAGGGGGATTCTGATTTTTAACCTTGCTGGTTTTACCCCAAGAAGTACTTTCTCCTGTTTAATTCCCTTTCTGGGTTGCCCTTTCCTGACATGTCCTGGCTCTGACCCCTCCAGATACCCTCCCTAGCCCTTGAATGTGACCAATTTCCTTTGCCCTTAGGCTAGAAGCAGACATGTAGAAGGAGGGCTCTGTCCACCGTTCCTTTCATGAGCCTGGGGACAAACTGCACTGTACCAAATGATGTAGGGTTGTCCTGATGCGAGTGACCGCTGAACTTGTTTTCACATACTTCACATAATTAGACTCCAGGTCTTCAGAGGTGAAGAGTGAGTGTATTATTAATGCTGTATTTTGTGTGTGTGTCCTTTTGGCACCGAATGGCAAAATGCCAGTTTATTTTGCTCTCCTGCAAAGCCCTTAGGGCAGATGCCTAATTAGTCCTTTTAATTTCCTGCTTAACAGCTAAAAGAACTAAAAGAGCATGTCAGAAGTGCTCTGTGTGGCCTGTCCTGCTCTTCAGCCAGGTCTCCATGGGTAGCCATATCTTCCAGGTTATTGAGTGTATTTATTCAGGTTTGATTTTCTAGGGCCCAAACAGAGCCCGTGTGTTACAAATACATCAGCGTTATGTAGCTATCAGGACAGTTAGAATGTTGTCAGCCTCATGAAAGATGTTACAATAGCTTTCAAAGCATTTAGAAAAAGAGCCCTTTGATCCTCTCTGTTCCAGTGAGCTAAAAGGGATGCTTTTGTGTGGGGGAAGGGGAAATGCTTTTCTTTTAGCTGCTACAAATGCCTGTCAGTGGGTGAGTTTGTGAGCTTTGAGTCTGAGTCTGTTATTAGAGAGCACTAAGGTGAAAGATGGAGAGTGTTATCCTCAGGTTGGATTCCTTCCTTTTTTTTAAAAAAAAAGTAACCAATTTTTTTTTAGCTGTTTCTCGATTGAGGAAGGAAATACTTAGTTCCCTACTGTCATTCTTTTTCAACAACGTGATACATTGCAAAGCAGGCATGAGGCGGATTCATGTATAAATTCAGTTTGCCAAAAGCGGTTGCGCTTTCAAAGACACCGTTTCTACGGTTTCTGCCAACCTACTTTCTCCCATGTATGACTTAAAGCGTTGCACTAAGCAAAGTGGGTGCTGCTGAAGGAAAGGCTTCCTTTTCCTGCGTGTGGCCTAGCCTGTAAGTCAGCAGCTGTAGTCTGAGCAGGATTAAAGACAGAGCCAGGATCTGACAGCTGTAAAGTCATCCTGGCTTTCTCTGCAGAATTTTTGAAGTATTATTCATGTGAGTTTCAGTCCCAAAGCCTCTTAAGGGGTTTTTAAACACTGCTTTCTCAATCCTCATCTCCATTTCATGCATTTCAGGTTTTTTGCTTCCACGGGGGAACATCTTTCAGTCCCCAAAGGGCAGAGGGATAAGAACATATGAGAGGATTTCAGAATTCCTTCTGCACTGGGAATCTTTTAGACCGATGTTGGAGCAGAGTGGCATCCCCACATATGGCCCTGCTTTTTAGGCAAGCGAAGGGGAAAGCTTAAAAGCCTTTTGGAATATAGTTTTGGCAATTTCTGAATTCACCGTGCTAGCATTGCACAGCTCCCTGTCTTTCCATTGGGATCCCAAGTGCTGAGCCTCAGAGCTACTGGTTCCAGCCAAAATTGGCATGCAGATTAATTAAAAGCAGAAGAACTTCAAGAGATTTTTGGTTCTAAGATTTTTTTTTTTTTAAAAAAAAAAAGTTTTGATTATTAACTGAATCTGTTACCTCCATGAGAACTGGGGTGGTGGTGGTCTCATACTTTTCCCAAAATTGAAGGACTGAAGAGTTTGCTATCTCACTTTAGCCACTGTTGCTTCTCTGACCAAAATCTTTCCTTTCCTGGGGTGATAAAAAATGTACTACCTGGGGGCATGACTTGTTTATCTGACAGATTTTAGAAAAACAGACAAGCAAAGCTCCTTAAGATGCCTCATTCCTGTAGGTGTCATCTTTGGTTATTCCTCTGTCTACCATATGACAATGCTGGTGTGTTATACTCACAATGCTTTTGTGTTCCCGTGAGCTGTATTTTCTCCTGAACATGGGTGCTTTTGGACATCACGTCAGCAACTTTCCTTAAAACACTCCTGGTGAAATTGCTGTCATGTAGGTCCAAGTGTGACAGTGGCAGTGTGTAATTAGAGGACCTGTTTGCCTTGCGTGAGATTCGGGTGCTGTAGATTATCTTTCTGCTTCTGTCACCAACTTTTCTCTGTCATCTTAAGCAATTCACTCAGCTTCTCTGGACTTCAGTTCCTCATCCATAAAGCGATGTAATGGTAAGTACGTACCACTCAGGTTCATGATTGTGTGTTAAATGCTTAGATAGTAATGAGAAGGCTAACCCCAGCAGTCTATATACAAAATAAACTCTGCTTTTGCATAGCTTCCGTAGAACGTTACAGTAGTCTGTGACTTGCACAGGTGAAAGAGAGGGAACAGCTTTGCCTTTCATTTCTTGTTAAACATGACTAGGCTGTTTAAAGGCTGTTGAAGAGGTAGTATGACTATAGTCTGTACTCCTTATTTGTCCAGTCCTGCCTTTCTCACTGTGTTTGGCTCTCTGTAGACTCCTTTTAGTACTGTTTACGCTTACATATGCAAAGTCAACATGACTCTGTATAGATGTTCACAAATATTGAAAGAAAGAAATAAAAGAAATACTGAAGGATGCAATCCATCCCAGTAATTTTTTCCTTTCTTTAAGCACGACATCTTTATGCAGCAACAAACTTTTAGTGTTGTACCAAAGGGTGTCTTCAGGAATCTTTTGTACAAATCTTCCCACATCTTCCCACCATTTAATCATCCTTCTGTGCTCCAGAGTTGTCCCAGTACTATCCATTCTCTTCTTTCACTGTTTTGAGCTTGTCTTCTCTATTTTACCCGTGTGGCTTTCCTAAGTAATCCTGCCTGTCTTACAGTTTACAGTCCTAAAGGCTGTTGGTATTGACTATGCTATTTCCTTTCTTTCCCTCTTTTGTAAAGATTTTTCCTGCAAATGGACTTCACATTCACCACCCATTTGTGGTGGTTAATTGTAGAGAGAAGTTAAACGTTACATGAAATCTTTCTACCCTAAGGTGTTTGTCTCATCTGTCTCTAAAGCCTCTTCCAACCAGCTCCACAATGGGAGGAAAGGTCCATTTTCTTCTTGAGTCTGTCTAAATGTGTAAGTGGCACGCAATGTGCTGATTCAGAGGGATCTCTTTTCAGTATGGGAAAGTATAGACGGCTATCCAGAAAGAGCTAGTTCAGAAGAGAAGGGTATTCAAAAGACAACATGGACCTCCAAGAAGAAAGATAAGCTATCACAAATACAGCTTGAACTCTAAGATAGTTATCTCTATAGATTCTGTATAAAAATAATTTGGTTTTCTATTAAGAAGAAATATTACATGTGTTGTAATAAATACAAAATAATAAAGCTTGCTTATTTAAAACAACTAAATCTCATTGTTTCCTCCTTCTTCCCTGTAGGTTTGCAACACAACAACGGATCGTAAACATGCAGACACATCTCTGGAGAAATATGTCACTGAGCCTGTAATGAACATTGTGAGTGGCTTCTTCAATTCGCCATTTTCAGATAACAGCACCAGCCTCCAGGTAAGGAAAAGAGACACAGACAAATATGTAATTCAGACTGTTAATGAGATACCTTCTGCTACCCAGATAGGAATGCTGTATCTTTACATTCTCCTTTAATTTCTCTGTCCCCTCTCATGCCACTGGCTAGCAGCTTAATTCCTCTTTAAAACATTTACTCTTAATTTTTATCACTTACAGCTCTGAACCAGTAGACAGCTCAATATGGCCAGATTTACTCCTGTCTCTTGTGAATTCATTGGAGGGGGTATCCTTGCAGAATAACGGTCTATCTCTGTATTTGTTTGAGAAAAATGCTGTGTCCTGTGACAAAAGAGACACACACCTGAGAACTGGGAAGACTCCTCCATCCTCCTGCTCTGTACGGTTTTTGCTTGGTATCAGTGGTGATCTGTAGAAAAAAATGCATGACTTGGCCTTTTTAGAGGTGCAGCATTGATTTCTGTTCCCTCCAGTCCTGAACAGCAAAGAGAATTTAATGGAGTTGTAACTTCAGTCTACAAGCTAAAAAACCCTTGCACGGGCTTTACGTTGTGTCAAACCCTAGGGCAGTTGTGAGCAGATTCTAAAGGGTAAAATTCCATGTTTATCTTTCTGTTTTCAGACACACCAACCTGTTTTTATTCAGCTGCTGCAGTCTGCTTTTAGAATTTACAACTGTACCTGGCCAAACCCAACGCAGAAAGCCTCAGTGGAGTCATGTATCAAGACTTTGGCTGAAGTGGGTAGGTGCCAGGTTTTAGTTTCATTATTGTTCTCTGTGTTTTAAGATCAGGCTTACTTGAGGTTGAACAGTTTTTAATTTGACTCTGCCATCCTGAAATTGTGACAGTGGTGACTTCAGAAATCCTACTTTCTGAGGCTAAATTCTTCCTCCTTTTATAACCCATTCAAATTTGTCCCATCAAATAGGGTCGATAGGTGAAACCTGTAGGTCCAAGAGATGAATTTGCTAAGTGAGCAATGGTTGAACTTTACCTCAAGCAAGTTATGATACTAAAACTCAACATAAACTATGAGAAAAGCTGGGCATTTCTAGTCATGTTGGGCTACATTTGCACAAGCTGTTGTAAGCAACAATGCATAGCAATTGTGCATGGGAGAACACCCATCATTTCTCCCTTCAGTTCCTGGGAGATGCATTCTTTATTGTTAGTCATGGTCCTGGGCTTGTTCAGGTTTTGTCCCATCAGGGTGCTGGAGATGGAAACCATAATTGTGCCACTCCATAGCTTCTCCACTTACTCCTCACCATCAGGTCTGCTCATTTACTGCTGTTACACAGTCAGCCTTGTCAGGGGAATATTGTCTTGCGCTGACACTGAGACCAAATTTGGTCCTCAGGGCAGCTAATAAGTTACATGCTTTCAAATAAATTCAAATACCATATTAAAGTGGAAGATTTAAAACTTCTTATCCTAAAATAAAAAAAGCTTCTTCACCAGTACATAGCTAAGACTGGCAAAAGTTAATTCTTAAGTTAAACTTCGGTGAATACAATTTTAAAGTCTTCTGCCATGACAGGAAAAAGGATTATTCAATATAGTTTCTAAAAGTCAGTCATTCTGATTACTTGTAGAATAAGATTCTGCTCAGTGTGAATGAAAACTGAGTAGAGGCAGAGATATAGAGAAACTGGCTAAATTCTATTGTTGATGCAATTTTTAAAAAGTTTTAATAAATTATGATGAAAGGGTCCCTTGACCATCTGCAGCATCTGTGGCATTGTGACAATCGACCCTAAATTTAGATTTTGGAATGGCTGTACAGGAGTATCATTTAACATTTTAGCCAAAACATCTCATGAACTTTTTGTGTGAATGAGAATAAGCAGTTACCTAAAAACGTAGCAACCTTCAATTGTTTTATTTGTTGTGCGAATGATTTCATTATGGATCCATCATGCAAGAGAAGTTTGGAAGTTGAAGACATTTTATTTCCTTTATGCTACAGCTACTACAGTCTCAAATAAAGCTCTAGCCCTACAAATGCTTGTTTGTGTGTTTAACGCATCTCTCTGGCAGTTCTGGAAAGAGTCATCAATAAACTACTTCCTTTGGGAGTCTGGGGAAAGGGGGAAGAAGTAGGGCAGGTGAGAATATTTTTGAGATTGAGCATGCCCTATTTGTGCTTCTAGGCAGCTTAGTGTCTTCATTTCTGTAGAGCTACACCTAAAAACAAATTCTACCTCAGAGAGGTCACTGTGTTACCTCACTGAGATGAGGGTGTTTGGAGACACCGGAGCATAGTGCCAAGACAGCCAAGCTGAACACGTCCCCACAGCAGCCTGACAGGGAAAGCATGGGTGCCTGTAATGGGCTGGCAGATCCAGCTTCTTGGCCAGGTGTGCCAGCATGTGACAGGGCTGGTGGTCTCTGGTAGGTGGTCTTCTGTGTGCCTGTTGTTCCTGGAGAAGTCTGAATGCAAGGCATGGCTGATGTCTGGAGTTTTCTTCAGATATGTGACTTTGTTCCCTATTGGGTGAGTTTAATTTCTACCTCTGCTGTAGTCTTTTCTTTCATTCCTTTTTCTGTTTTATGGATATGGTTTACAGTTGGTTGTTGTGTTGTGGTTTTTTGGTTTTTTTTATAAGTACGCTCTTGTGCTGTCCTATGGGTCCAACCTTCTTGCTACTCTGGCTTCCCAGTCATGGGACCCCAGCGATGCCCTGGGCACTCTCAGGTGTGGCAGAGTGGAGCTGAGCTGCCAGTGAGGGGCATCACCCCATGTCCTCCTCTGGGATTTCCCGGTGGTGGCAGGGCAGGGTGGCTGGGCTTCACCTGGGGGTGCCATGGGCTGGCAGCCTCAGAGCTGCTCCCTGAAAACATGTGTTAGCATGCACATTGCCAATTTCCTTGTCTGTGTCATAGTAACTCTTTAGGGATTCATCACTAATATCAATATCAAGCATGGTAAAATTGTATTGTGTTTGTGTTAGGAAATTGCCACACGTTTTTCTTTAGTGTTTTATTTTGACAGTGCGGAGAATGAGTATAAGGGAACAGGTGAGGGAGATTTCCCCAAAGAGCAAGTTAACCGGAGAAGAAGCGGAAGCAGAGGTTTTAACAAACACCCCTGTGTAAAAGTTTAGCTGGCCAGCGGAGATTTTAACTACTGGTGATACTCAGTATTTGTAGGAATGGTGCCAAATGTGTATTACCTGGGCTAATTGAATAGGTTTGTTCTGCTCTGCTGAAAGCTTTGGAAAAGCTGCCCTAGCTGGGTTTTTTTAAAATCGAGACCCTTTTGTGGTTACAGTGCGTGCCCAGTGCATTTCTCTGTCGGATGTTCAACCACAGAAAATGGTGCTTCTATTTGAGAAAGCAGAGGTTTCGTCCATAATACAAACAAGCCTTTTTCGGTCTTTTTTGTTGCCTGTGTATGTGGACTAGGTTTGGATTTTGACTAGGTAGCTGTAAGCACCCTTCTGCTTTTTTTTTAGTGTGGTGTTTTTGTTTTTTTTTTACTTGAGAATCTGACAGCTTTAATGTTAGGGCCTTCATGTTTCACAGCAGGGTTTAAAAAAAACCTCTAGAAAGATTATGCCTACATCAGAGAGATAGAGTATTGGACAGATTTACAGCAGGGACCAAAGACTTTTGATGGAAAATAAATGTAGTATAGAGTTGAAAGAACAAACATGATTTTTTTTGTGTGTGTGTTGTAGCCCTGGATTCAGAGATGAATCTCAGGAGGAAGAAAGATCATACACAGATTTCCCAATATATCAAAGATCCATATAATAATAAAATTTTAAAAGACCCATTTCAGAGCAAGTTTAAGCAACATACGTTCTGCTCAGTGCTTACTAGTTTGTTGCTGGCAGGTGGATTTAAGTATTGCCTCAAGAGCTTAAGATCATTACATCTGTCATCTTATGAGCACTATAAGAATGTGCATTATCTTCCAGGTCAACAAAAGGATATATTGCAGAAGCTAATTTCTTATAACCCTGGTACTTCAATTCCACTTGACCACTAGGGATAAACTGCATAAGCTTTTCAAGCTTGACTTGCTGCTTTGTCTCCAGGCAGTTGTCTGCCTCCAGTTGAGCAAAAAGCATAGAGACTTGCTTTTCTTCTTCAGCAGCCCCCCTCTGTGACTCCAAGAAATTTGGAACACAGAGGTACCAATGTGCATCAGGTTTTTATTGCCCAGTAAATGTTTGGCTGCCTGGCATGAATAGAAACACTTATGAAATAGTACATGTATATTAATGTGTCTTGTTCATATGGATTTCTGAAGCAGATTATCACAATAACAAGAATTAACATATTATACGTATATCACTTTTGCTTTTTCTCTATTATTACATAGAACTGAGCTTTTGCTTGAAAATATAGTCCAAAAAATGAATGATCAAAACAGATTCCATCTCACTGGTAAAATAGTTACAAATGAAAAATGTTTAAAAGGTCCCCTGATCTTTGTGAAAACAGAGGAACTAAGAGATCTAACAGTTCAATTTATTTCAAATTAATTCATTATCAAAGGACTTCCAGTTCCTACATTTTATAGTCTTTGCAAGACTAAGAAGGGTGGAGGCCAGTCTCAAAGTTTGCATTTTAAACCATCTACTGTCCTTCCGTATTGTAAAATTGGGGAATATCACCTGTCCTCACATCTAAAGATATGGATTGTATATCTTAAATTGTACTGGAGCAGGGTCTTTCTCCCAGGGCTGACTGGTCTTTCAGGACCCATGCAAACAACTGTCTTTGCTTCTTAATTAACTGGTGATTCTTATATCTTCACCCCAAAGCTTCAGTTTTCTGTTACAAGGGCGAATCTAGTTGTATTATACTCTTGTATATATACTCTGTAGCATCCATTAGCTTTCTCCCTTATGTTATTACAAATTGCATCTTCCCTCTGATACTCTGTGTGTATCCCAAAGATGTAGTATGTGTGTGGCTGTGCTGTTACCACCAGTAATGAAACAATTGGAACTTCCCAGATGAGTAAACAGTGGCAGACAGGAACCTGCATTTTGTTAGACTATTTTTCTTGGCAGACCCTTTAAAAAAAAAAAAAAAAAAATCTGTTAGCAAGCCAAATTACATTAGTCATTATCAGATTATATGCCAGGATACTGTGCAGGGGAAGCAAAAGGAGAATCCTTGTTTCCATCCTTCAAAATGGGAGACAAGTCCTGTAAGATTGCTATTTCATAAGTCCAAAACTGGAAGAGGAACAGAGGAAGTACCACTGTGATGGTCGGGGCAAAGAAGAACTGTATTTACAAGAGGAGATTACAGTAGCCCCACATGTTTTGCCTAGCAAAACAAAGGCCTGTGTGGTTGCTCTTTAAAAGTACTTAGGAAGATAAACAGTTATGAAGAAGAGACATGTAAGCTAAAGGACAGAGCTGACCCAAAACCAACTGGACATAAATTACACTAGGTTGTAAATATCCTAAATAAATTTGGATTGTAAATCAGAGGTTTGGAACCAACTTTGAAAGGATGTCCTTGGTCAACAGGCCACAAGAAAATGGAGAGAAGAGAGATGGCAGAAAAGCTAGCTTCATTTTAAATAGGGCCTGATAAATTTTTCAAAAGATATTATAGAACATGGACTGTCTGTAACAGAGAGCAGATGGTCTGAAGGAGTAGTGAAGTCCTTACTAGTTGAGTATTTATTCCCCAATTTCAGCTCACCAATAGCCCTTTGTACAGAATCCAAAAAACTCTCCTGTGGTCCTTCTTGACCATGCTTTTATGTCCTCTAAAGCCCTTTCCTTTTCCCTGACAAATTACAAGCAGGTTACACTTTATTGCTGCTTTGGAATTATTGTATGTATTTTAAAGTCCATATAGATGAACTTTCCTGTAACAATTTTTTTAGCCCTGAAAATACTTTATTTCACTTCCCATTTGAGTTTTAAAATCTTTTTTCCATTTTATAAAAAGCTACACCTTCATTTTCAATTTTTAGTTCAAATAAAATAATTATCCTGTTGTTACTTTTTTGACAGCAAGAAGAATACATTTCAGATGAAGCACATATTTTATTCTATTTTAACTGTTTGTGTTTCCCTAATTGCAAGAAAAATTCAATGATGATCTTTTTACAGACTGATAAATATTTTAGCGTAGATTTTCTGTTGGAAAAAAACATCCAAGTGAAGGGTACAAGATTGGCAGGCTTGTGTCTTGTCTACACAAAGCTTTTATTTCCCTTAAAAAGTCTTGCTGTTGCTAGCATTAGCGTCTCTCCATCCAAATGCATTTGTTAAGCAGTCAGTAAATGATTAAGGAGCTGGAGGGACTGATTTATGGAACAGAATTAATTGAACTAAATATGCATTGCCCCGTTAAGTGACAACTGGGAAGTGTGGGAGAACATGATACAGCTTTCTGCAACTACCAGAGGGGCGTAAACAGCAGGGAGAGTAAAGGCTTCACAGCCAGGTACAGCTGTGGCTTTTTCGTGACCCAGATTGCCCGTCATGCTCTTCCCTGAGGCCTCTAAGGGGTGCAATGCCTGTCCTCCAGAAAACCCGCACCAGGGATGGTTTAGGGTAGCGCAATGTGTACTAAATAGCTGTGAAGCAACTCCGTACTCTTGTATTTTGTATATACTACAAAAGCTAATGGAGTGAAATTTAAAATTAGGGAGCACTAGGTGGGAATATCAAGGAGAACGGCAAGTGTCCTTATGGCGAGTAGATTGCTCTAAGAATGGGCTTCCAAGGAAAATTGCAGGCAAGGGCCACTTCCCGGAAATCCTTAGTACTAAATTGATCCTAAGATGCAGGTAGGCAATATAATGAAAGGACAGTGCTTCAGCAAGCATCCCTGAAATAGGTCCTTTTACCTCCAATTTCTGTGCTTCTGTGAAGAGAATTGCATGGAGATAATGCAACAAAATACATCTTAGCCCTTCTGTTAGCAGCTGGACTACGCTCTTGAGACTTCGGTGGAGTCTAGCTTGCTCATAGACAGCGGCTTGATTTTTAGCTACTTGATTCTTGACATTAATGTTGTTTTCTTTTGAGTCCTGATCTCAGAGTACTTTTTGCTAGTTTAAATAGTAAAGGAGAGGAAAGCTGGTGATGCACTGGATACACACAGAACCATCCAGCATGGAGCAGAACATTTTACTGCAACCTGGCTGAATCTGTGGCACTGTCTTGCTTACCATTTCCATGGGTACCATGTGCTTGCTTGTCTTGGCTCAACTGTGGCTGTTGCTGATAGCATAATTGTGAGCAGCAGATTGAGAGTTAGTCATGCAAAGGATTTCCCAGTAAACTGCATTTCCTCTGACACTGACAAAACGGTGTAGTGTATTCAGGGTATAATTAGCCCTGTGCAGGGTGCCCCAGGTACAAACTGGGCAGTATATAAGTCTGCGCTATGCCCCCCACTGCAAGGCAGAATTTCCCTCAGCTGAAGACACCTTCTAGTCTCTCCCGGTAAGTATCCTGCTTGATACCTATGGTACCAGTTCACATACAGCCACATAGCATGCTTTTTCCCCAAGTTCACTAGTCAGATGAAAGACAGAATTTTACCCCCTCCTGGCTCCTTTGTCTACCAGCTCGAACTCTACTTTGCAAGTTTGAGTGCTGTCCAAAAGTATTTCTAAGTGGAACAAAAATAAACATGCTATTAAATATTTTATGTTGATACTTTAAGGGAGATTGACACGTTTTGAAGAGGAAAGCAGCCTACAACACCTAAATTAAAAATAAATATTTATGTTCACATTTGTTCATCAGCTTTCCAAAATGTAAAAATATGTTTCATGTTGTTTTAAATAATGAAATGTGAAACAAATGAAAGATAAACTTTCTACAAGCTGCAAAGAAATAAGAAGACAAAGGCTTTGTATATAGCTTAGACTTCAACAGTGCCCTTTGACAACCAATACAAATCTTAATTACAAATGGAATTATACATATAAGAACTGTTCAAAACAAAGGAGTACTTTTTCTCTCTCTCTGGTTTTCTTTGTGATAGTTTTAATTAGCTGCAACTCTTTGAACAATCATAGTCCTTGACTGCTCCTCAGACACTGATGGAAGTTGTTAACTTCAAATGGCATCTATAGGACTGCAGAAGTCTGGGTTTTCCTCTGAACAGCATGCTCCCCATTGCTAAATTTATTCTTGGGTATATCAGGATTCTGCATACATACTACTTAATTGAGAAGTGAGCATTGTCCAATAACATTCCAGTGACTGACATTAGGACAAAATAAATTGGATTAATAGGCTGCAGCACCCTACCCACACTGGCAGAACTTTAGTAGACTACTGTAATAAAGTAAGCAGCAACAGGGCAAATGTGTTTTGAAAAATAACCCAGTCAAATAATACGGAAAAACAATCATTAGAAATAATGGCCAGCCATACATGGTATTTTCCTCATGATAATCAAAAACCTTGCCTTCAAAACAAATGGAGACTGGAAAGGAGAAGTCAACTGCCAGTGTGGAAACTGCTGTACATCTGCTGCTGATGATTTGTATATGGTTGTGAGGAAATGTGCCTTCCTATCTTGACCTAGGAATTTATTTTTTTTTAGTTCCCTATGGCAAACTGTGTAAAAGAGAGTGCCTACCAGAAACAGAATAAGAAATTTCTCTTCTGTCCCAGTGAAACAGCCTAATCTGCAGGTGGAGGCCCTGGTCCTGCATCAGGGTACACCCTTGCAGTGGGAAGAGGGGAAGGTGCCCTGCACCTGCGGGTGCTATTAAAGGGATGTGGACACACGTGACAGAGCACTCTTGCTGTAGTCTGTGAGACTGGAGGTTGAGGTGTTGCAACCAAATTTAGGAGGAAGAGAAAGTTTCTGCTTGGGATCTGTGACTCACTGTGCTTGGCAGCACGCGAGCCTTCATTCATCAGAGCTGTATGCCTGACTCGCTGCTTGCACGTGCTCTGGTGGGGTTTGATGCATAGACTGTTTAGGAAAGAAGGGCATCTGTTGACTTCACGAGTTCAGGACTTCAAGTTGTATATGTTTTAGGAACTGGGAGGGAGGGGTGGAATATTTTTGATGTGTTCTACTACTGTGGAAAGCATGCATGTTAGTGCAGAATGGTGGGGAAATGCCTCAGAGAAACGTTGTGCAGAACTGGAATATGGGGGCTAATGCTTTTTTAAAAATTCACCTTGTTTCATTAAGGAAAACTGAAAAAATCAGTTGTTATTAGTCATTATTACAAATGAAGTAGAACTGCTTCTCCATTTTACTTCTAAGTTTTTATTAAACATATACTGTGCCATGGAAATTAAGTGAAATAACGTAGAATACAAAGCCTCATCACTGGAATATGACCTAATCTTTCAGACAGAGATATTGCTGCATTGATCTCTTGTTTATTTGTGGAATTTTGGACGACTCATGCTGAGCCGTAGAAGAATGTCACTCTGATCTCCAGTGGAATGGAGAGATTTAGCTAATATAAACATTTTCATGGTGGAGAGGGCAGATAACTTCTAACATTGTCTTTCAAACTTCTTCAAATGACAGTTCAGGATGCAATAGTAGTTTAATAGTGGATGCCCTGTAAGAATTCATGCAAGTCTTTCCTCTCTTTTTTTCCTCTAATATTCTCTCTTTTGTTACTTCCTAGCCTTCGAGTCTTAAAAAGAAAAAATAAAAAGGCATTTTTTTAAACTATTGGTTAAATTTGTTTAACTATCAGTTAAACTATCACATGTTTATTAACTATTGGTTATATTGCAGTGGCATCCAGGAACCCCATGGTTTAACAACCCTGGCTGTATAGGAAACCAAAGGGAGAGAGAAGAGACAGTCTTTTTCAAACTTAATTTGTATGCACTTGGTTTCTCAAGGTCTTCGCAAGAGAAATGCACAGAAAAGCAACAAAGAGCACTTGGGATAAATTGGCTAAATAAGCATATGTCCACTAGAAAGAAGAATTTTTTACTTCTGAATAGCGTAGAACTAGCTGTTGAAATAATAATGCATACGCTTTATGTTACTCTTATTAATATCTCTGGATCTGCTTTTTTAAAAGTTAGTACAGAAAAATTATTCTGTTTTTAAAAAAAAAAAAGTCTGTACCTATGAAAATACGTACTGGAAATGATCCTCATCTCATTTAAAGTGGTACAGCTTGCTTTCTTTAACTAGATTATGACTGATTTCTACCAGCTTAGATTTTTGATCCTTATTTTAAAAACCTGTTGAAGTGAGATCCCCCTGCCCCCTAACTTCAAGAGTATCAGGATTTTGCATGCCATGGTCTTAAGATTTTCAAACTTTTGCCACTGTAAATGTCTTCTTTTTTCTTCCTATTAAAGCAAAGAACCGTGGGATTGCAATTCCAGTGGATTTGGACAGCCAGGTCAACACCTTGTTCATGAAGAGTCACTCTAACATGGTGCAGAGGGCAGCCATGGGGTGGAGAATGTCAGCCCGCAGTGGACCTCGTTTTAAAGAAGCTCTTGGTGGGCCTGCCTGGGATTACAGGAATATAATAGAAAAACTACAGGTACAAAAATAGCAAATGGCTTGGGCAGTAGTTGTGGTAGTGCATTGATCTAATACATGCCAGATGTGGAAAACACCAGATAGAGTGGTTGCATTTTTAGGGCTGGATTACAGTGAGCTTTGCACTTCTAGGTGGGGGGAGCAGAGAGCTCAGCTCTTCTCTGGTGTCTGTTCAAAGTAAAGCTAACATGCAGGGCCTTTTGGTCCATGATCTGAATTCAGCTCCTACAGAAGTCACTAGAGAGGGATTGGAAGCATGTTCTTTTCCTCAAAGCAGTCCAAAGAGAAGGATCTCCTTTCTGCCTTTTCATGTTCACATGTCCTGCTTTGGCTACAGAGGAGGTACTGGAGGTTTTAGGAGTCATTATCTCAGGTTTGTGTCACTGGAGATTGCCTGTAAGGTGGAGAACGCCTTGTGCATGTAGTGGTCAAATGATATCAGGAGTTTATGAACTAAGAAAACAGCAGGACCCAGACAAACGGAGGAGCCCTAAACACCAAGGAACCAACACCTCAGGTGATACTGCTTGTCATATGTGGTGTTAGTGTATTTTTCCAGCATGCCATCATCCTGACTGTTGCTGAGTGTTTTGTAAGCATTACTGCAGAGGAGAAATTTGAAAGAGAACAACAAGGTAGATAGTAATGGGCACCTTCTCCCCTTGCCTTGCTTGAGGAGTGGAGTGAAGAAAGGCTTGAGGTTGCTTTGATGTCACCTGGGTTAACAACAACTCTTGCAGTTGGCTATCAGAAGCGCTTCAAATAGCCCATCACACAGTATTGTGCAACTCCACAGCAATGTTCTTCTAGTTTTGTTGTAGTTATGAATGTTATAAATGTCATTCTTCTTCTTTCTTCCCTAGGACGTAGTGTCCTCCTTGGAGCAGCAGTTCACTCCCATGATGCAAGCTGAATTCTCAGTGCTGGTTGACGTGCTGCACAGTCCAGAACTTCTTTTTCCTGAGGGGAGCGATGCCAGAATAAGATGCGGTGCCTTCATGTCCAAGTAAGTGGTGTAAGGAGAGGCTTATTTGCTTCTTTGGAAAAGATGGCAGGGACTTAAAATTTTCAAGAGCACTTACCTCTGATTTTCAACAGTGACTTAAGCATGTAGGTGTCTGAGTTCATATTGAAAGCTTAAACTAAGGTATTTTGCTGCATGTTTTACGTTTCTCAGCAGTTTAGGAGTCTGGAGAGGCGTAGAGAGAGAGGTTGCTTGCCTTGTCTGCCTAGAAATGGGATGTTAGTAGCTTTTTAAAATTGTGGCAGGCTCAACCTTACCTCTCTTAATGGGCTACTTTTGCTATTAAGTTTCTCCAAATCTACAGAAGGAACTTAGACTTTCCATGGTAGAATTTTCAAGAATTCTGAATGAAGTGAGATGCTCAGGGCTAGTGGGTTTTTGTTGGAGTGTTTTTTTGGTACAGCAAATAAATCTGATTTTTATTTTAAACTGCCAACAGCTCTTTTAAAAATACACTTCACTGACACCTCTACCTGGTCTTGAATTATTAGATGTTTTACTTGCAGTCTGTGCATTGAAATAGTCTTGCGATTTTTTATTAGTCCTCAAATGAGATGCCCTCCCTGCCCTTGAGAAACTATAATTTAAACAGAGGTAATTTGGGGGAAATGAACATATTTGGCAACTCTCCTGATTCCTTGGCTTTTTGCATATTCTGCAGAGGTAGTGTTGTAACAATATACTTTATATGTTTGGAAAAATTAAGCTTAATTTTGAGCTTGTCCCATCCCATGCCCTCTGTCCAAACTCCTGTTCAAAGTCAGCATCAAATCAAGTCTAAGGCTGCTGGACATGGCCCGTGTAACGCAATAAACAGTTTTCTGTTTTATTTAATCAGCTTCCATGGCAAAGGAATGCTTTGCAGAGCTATGCAGAAATCCTGAGATAAAGATGTACTTCTTTAAAAATATTGTTAGTACTGCAGACCTGAGAGCTGCATTGTCTTGGACTCATAGCTCATGAAATCGGTGAAGATGACAGTGGGAGAGTCCTGCATGGTGTCTCCACTGAGCCTGGGATGGGGTTAGTGCACTAATCCCTGGCAGTATTTAAAAGACCTGTAGATCTGGCACATGGGGACATGGTTTAGCAGTGGGCTTGGCAGTGTTAGGTTCACAGTTGGACTTGATGATCTTAAAGGTCTTTTCCAACCTAAATGAATCTATGATTCTAACTTAGCAGTGATCTAACTATCACCAGTTCTGTTGGGTTATGGAGCGCTAGTCTAGATGATGCAGTGTCAGCCCTCCCAATGCTGTTTTTGGTGACTGGGATTTAGAACCATTAATGATGCCATCTTTCAGTGTAAATCAGTGGCTGCAGTGCCTTTGCTGTATGCTGATCCTGGGCCATAATTTGATGAACACCATTCTATCCACCATAAGCCAGCACTGGTACTGAGGGAAGAAAAAACTGTCCAAGGCCTTCAGATTTCCTCCCCACTTTTGTTTTCACAAACATTTCTCTGGCAGTGTGTGAACCAGTGCGAGGACCTGCTCTGTACAGAGATAGAAAGGCTGCTTCTGGTATTGGCTTAAGCTGACTAAAACCCAAACTCCAGTTGTAGCTGCAGTCGGAAATGTACCTTGTTTTCTGACTTGAAACAGTCTTGTAAAGTTGTTGTGCAAATGTAAACCATGGTTATGTTTCATCCAAATGTCTGCATTTCTGAACACTTTCCTGTAAGGTTTTTTGGGATCCTTTTGGCTGGATGCCATTTGCTAATTATATAATAAATATAACCATCATAGAAGTCGGAAGATGTGAAGGTCGTAGCTTTTAAAGTTTGCAAGATGCATGCTGAACATTGGTTAACTTTAAAGGTTAAAATAAGTTACCTTTAAATAAAGAAAGGATGAAATAGCAAGTTTGGATCTTAATCTGGAAGCACTCATAAAAAGTGGATGTAGAATTCTGCCTTCTGTATGGGCAGTAAGATATGCAAATTGACAAAAAACTCACAACACCTTGGAAGTCCCATTTCCTTTTTAATTATGATTTCTCTTGTCTACTTTTGTTTCCTTTCCTTGAGGAAAAATATAGTGACAGGTGCATTTTTGCATAAAGAAATTGTAGTATGGCTTAGCAACAATGTGCAATGCTCTTTAAGGTTTAATATTTTACTTTAAGGTTGATTAATCACACAAAGAAGCTAATGGAGAAAGAAGAAAAGCTCTGCATTAAAATTCTTCAGACGTTACGAGAAATGCTTGACAAGAAAACTAACTTTGCGGAAGAGGTACTGCTACCATTTTAGTATTAAATATAGAACTAATAGCATGGTATTAAAATGTTGGCTCTAGGACAGTAACAGAATCTGACATGATTTCAATTTCGTTCATGTTTTAAAGATAACGTGGTGTCTTAGGAACAATGTGGTAAGGTAGAAAGTAAGATTGGAACAAAAGAAACTATCTGCCTTACATAGATAGTTTTGTATTGGGGACTTGACAAGAGTCGAGGCAAGGAAGATTAAATGAATGAGCCATAGCGAGTATTACTATATATGATTATTATATATCGGATATCCTGTATTTATGGAGACTAGTCTTCTTATGTCACATCTGACTTTATCATAAAATTAATTGGAAATATAGGGACTTATAATTGCAAGTGCAGTTTTTCCATGCTGCTTGTGGTGCCAGACTTTTGTACTCCATACACTTTTTAAGGCTTGTAAATGTGTGACGGGAATATGTAATGTTTAAGCATAGCTGCCAGTTTTGGGGAGAAGTGACATAGTCTGTACTCTGTAAGTGTCTATTTCTTGCACTCCCCTTATTGCCCAATTTTCTCTTGCAAAACCAAGTTTTCAAATACCTCTTTCATCTTGCCTGTGCCTTTCGGTATCAGTAGCTAGATTGAGATGTACTTGTCAGCTGTCCCTTCTTTTTGAGCCTGATCCCTGTGCCTTTTGTGTGGTTTCCTCTTATGCGTATTTCTGAGTATTCCCCAGATTCTTTCAGTATTATTCACTCTTAAATATGAATCATAGAGCTATTATCTAGTCTCTCAGTGCCATCACTTTCATTTGTTCACAGCTGACATGTTTAGTCAAGTATGTTCATGGGTTTCACTTTACCTTGAGAAAAAATACTGATTACAACCCAGTGTCACACTGTTTCACTGTCTTAGGCTTTTAGACCCAAATATTTTCAGATGTCTTATTCATGTTATTGTACCTAGCAAATTTATCCACCATTCAGGTATACTAGCTATGAGATTCAATCTTAACCCCAATCTAACCTTAAGAAAAATAAGGTCTGTGGTGATCAAGATGCCCACACCTGTTTCTGGGTGTTTGAGATTTTAATTTTAAAGTTAAATGTTTTGGTCCTGTCATATGATGTGATAAAGCATCAACACATTATTTTCTCTTTTATGATAGATGAGCCATATACTAGAAATGGAAAATATTCACAGTGTGTTTGTTTTGACTGTATATTGTTTGGTTTGATTTTGATTTCAACATATGGACATGGGAACATATTGCCCAGGCTTCTAAGCAACCTGCTAGACAGGATAAAAAAAAAAATCTCAAGGCAGGACAGTGAGATGAAGACAAAGGCCGCAATAGGAAAACATCAGCCCTACTCTACACAAAAACAACCAGTGCACACAGAGAAAACCAACCTCCTCTTCACCTCCTGCTTGAAGAAAAATGTGGCTAGGCTTGGGCAGACAACGTGTTTTTAATGTCGTAACAAGAATTTCACAGGTGAAGCAGATACTAGCATTCTTAATTATTATTCATTTGTATTCTAACAGCTTTCTGGGTCCATAAAGCCACTGCATCGCATGTCAAAACTAGTCTGCTTTTGCAACTGCATGCCATGATGCACTTTGCCAAACCTCTCCAAAATAATTTCATAGACCTACCAAAAGTTAACATCCTCTCAGGACTACAGGGGAAAAAAGCACAACTCTTTAATGCATGACTTAAAACAAGCCAACAAAAATTTTGCTTGTTTTATTTGCTCTTTGTGCCCTGTTGCGGATGCTGATAAAGCCAGGCTGAGCGAAGGGCCCAGAGGGAGTGTGCTCCATTGGTATGTGGGGGCTCTTCACCCAGCCAGCCCAGCCCCTGGTTCTCAGGAGTGGACATTGGAGGCGTATGCCCAGACCCCTCGCCTGACCTCCACCGTCTCGGCAGGACATGGCGGGTAGAAGAGCTCTTCGGGAAACAGAATTTCTCTCTCATGCTCTCTCTCGAGTGTGATAGATTTTACACTGGGGAACGTAATGAATCAGTGCAAACAAATCATAAAAGAGTTTGCATGTGCATCTTCGTCTTGCTACTCTTATGAGTCATTGTTCATAGTATGGACTTCAGAATAGTAAAAATAGCACAGTGAATAGCCTCTTGTGCATGTTTCCAACTTTTTTTGAACTGTGATCTCACTGCCTGCAAAGTTATTCAACTAAGTTATGCAGATACTAAAAAAAAAAATTGTAGTAGTAAATATGTAATGGTGATGCCAGAACAAAGCTATGGAGGGATGCGTGATGTTTTGACAGGAAGCCTGAGTTTGTTAATCACCCATCATAATGTATTTTGTGTGATAAATCTGACAGAAACAGTAAATAAACCTCCAGTTTCTGCAGATTTTCCCACAGTGAAAAACAAGGAAGAAATAATGAAATCTCTTCCCTTTACCTCCCACAGTTGAGATCCAGGTCTGTGAACCTTGTCTTCTACTGTCTTTATCTTTCACTTGACCTCTGGAAGGTAGCCTGTTCCATTGAAGGAACAGGAGGAGAAGATAGCTGTAGGTGCTTATTTCACTGTTTTTATGCCTGTTCATGTATCCACTGTCTCAACTCTCTTGTTGTGCTTCCCCTTGCTGGTGTGTATCAGGGCTGCGCGTGCTCTTCTGGCTCCATCCTCGGTTGCCTTTGCAGTGCTTGCTTGTGCGTTGTTTTGCTTAGTGCCGCAACATCTAATTGTGTCAGGAATCAAAGTTTAATTTCAGAAGTTTGATTTAAGGTACATAAATGACACATAAAACCTCTTGGTCATTGATTGGCTTTCATAAGTAATTGTGGGTGATTATTACGATCTCCCGGGAGTTCTACGTTAAGTCCTAGTCCTATTTGTATTGATTAGGTAACTAACTGGAATGAAACTTGATCTACAGCCTCTCTCTTACAGAAGGCTCTTCCAGAACAGTGTTAAAACACTTGGGTAAAGCAGTGTATGGAGGAAGTTGACATTGCTTCTGTTCAGTTACTGTGGTAGAGATAAAAGCCTACTTTAGACCGACTGTTTAAGAAGAGAAACAGGAGAGACAGAAAGGACTGTGTTTGGACTAGATCTGCCCAACGTAGGGTGTGGGTGTTTTGGTTTTTTTTTGTTCCTGGCCATTTTTGTACCCATTTTATAAAACCAGAAGGATCTTGGTCTAGAATTTTGGAATTTTTAGGCAAATATTTTTTGTCCTTCACCACAGTGCTTCATTCCAGTTTAATTTCTGTGTGAATGCTGCCTCTAGACCTACTTACATGTCTTGGTTTGAATCTGTGTAACATTTCCAAAAGCACCTGAGACACATAGAGCACTGATGCATGTTCACTTTGCAAATGACTGGAGCATTTTAAAATCTTAGCATTAACTTGCTGCCCTACTGAAAGCAACTGTCCCCACAATGGAGCTGGTGGGCCAGGAAGGGTGAGTCCTCCCAGCTGCTTCAAAGAGGGTTCAGAAGCTTAAATTAAACCGTCCCTCAGTGAACTGGATGAAATTGTTGAACTCTTGACTGAAGTGTGCTCATCTGGCAACTTCTTAACCCACTTCAGGTGCGGGCATGTCAAAGCCTCGGGCATGGACAACCTTCTGATTTCCCAAGTGTTCTTAAATGAGGTCAGCATCTCTGAGGGAAAAAAATACTATCTTCGATAACGTGTGTATACGACAAGTTTAGTGTAATGTTATTGGCTGATCAGAGTGTTAATGGATGATAGTGCATTGCAGAATATGGCAGAATCCAAGCCTGTATACCCTGCCAACTGGTAGTTCCTAAGGGAAACATTATTATAAATAGATTGAACCGTTCAGTAAGGGTTACTTGTGCTGCAGAACACAAGCTTTATACTTTTTTCCTGCTTTAGGTGTTGAACTACAGTATAAATAATTGAAAACTGCATTTTTAAGTGTCAGTAGAACAAAGACTGTGTAAGCTGCTTAATTATCAGAAATAAGTAGTTGTACCTTTTGCCTTTTTTGGAAATACTCATGAAAAATGATGTCTTGCTCTTATACGTTTGCCCTAGCATCGTGATTTAAAATCATAGAAGTAGCTTTGTAGCCTTTGGTTTTGCAGTGTTAATGTTTCTGCATTCCACTTGATATACGAAATGTAAGCTGTCTTCTCTTTGTTTTCAGCAACAGCACCAAATGTACATGTGAAAAAATAGTACAGCTTCAGTGTAAAGATAGATGTATTTTATTCCTGTAAGATGTAGATATGGCCACTATTGGCTCTTGGTCATTTTGTGCCTAAAGACCTTAGACTTTTCTTGTGGAGCTGTTGACAAAACTCTGATGAGTTTGTCAAAATCAATAGTCCCAGTTCATGAATGTATTGATCTACCAGTCAGCCTGAAACCAGTGGGAGCTGCAGGTCTTTTTCTGCTGGGAAAAATGGTCTTAATGTGTCTTAGAAGCCAGGAGAAGTTGCTGGGAGCCACTACAGTGTCCCAGTGTTGCAGCTCTTTGAATCAAAGACATTCTCAACTTAAACTGCATTCTGTCCTATAGCCTCGTCTTTTCAAGATGATTTTACTTATTTGCATCTGTGAATTAGGCAGCATTCAGATAAATAGCATATGTAGGTAAAAATAAAAGGAGAAAAAAGAGAATAATTCTGAATATGTGGGGCTTGCTGAATGTATTATACCTTCAAAGGACATTTATTTTAAATGAGAGGAAGAATAGGATCCAAAATTCCTTTATTTGTGTTACTACTCGCATTTTTCGTTAGTGGCACTGCAGACATTCTGAAGAATTATATTTTAATTTTTCACTGTTTCTGCTGTCTGTTTTATTTGTGCTCATGTATAAAAATACCTATGCACCAGCCTTTTTTCCCCGTTGTCAATAGGCCATTCCCCTGACTAAGCGCAGTGTGGCTGTAAGGTAATAGGGGGTTAGAAATACTATAGGAGAGCATTTAAGCTCAGTGCTGCTTATATTGGATTTTTTAAAAAATCACTTGTACATTTTAGCTGGTAAAGGACATT